CAGAGATCATTGAGCAAAATGTCATCTACTCAAAAGAGCCATTTCAAGCTACTCCAGAAGTTCAAACCGGAGTACTCGCCTAGCGAGTTTGCTCAGTATGAGTCGGAGAGAACAGGCATGAGGGTAGTGGTCATTGACCAAAAAGGACCCAAGGTCACAGGTTATTTTGTTCTAGCCACAGAGATTCTCGATGATTCAGGTGCTCCTCACACGTTGGAGCACTTGTGCTTTATGGGCTCGCGGAACTATAGATATAAGGGTTTCCTTGACAAGCTAGCAACACGTGTTTATTCGAGCACCAATGCCTGGACGGCCACAGACCACACGGCCTACACCTTGGACACAGCAGGCTGGGAAGGGTTCGCTCAAATCTTACCCGTGTACCTAGAGCATGTTATAGCTCCAACACTGACAGATGAAGGGTGCTATACCGAAGTGCATCATATTGATGGCGCCGGAGACGACGCTGGAGTCGTCTACTCGGAGATGCAGGGTGTGCAGAATAACTCTGCAGAGTTAATCGATCTAACCGCTCGTCGATTGACTTACCCGCATGGTGTAGGTTTTCGCTACGAGACAGGCGGTATGATGGAGCAGCTCCGTGTCCTCACCGCGGACCGTATCCGAGCGTTCCATCGTGAGATGTACCAGCCCAAGAACTTATGCCTAATCATCACAGGCGAAGTAGATCACCAGAACATGCTGGAGACCTTGGACAAGTTCGAAGATACTATTCTAGATGTCATTCCCAGTCCTGATTCACCTTTCAAGAGGCCGTGGGTAGATTCCAAGCAGGCGCCGCCATTGGAGAAGTCCATTGTCCAGACTGTGGAATTTCCGGAAGAAGATGAATCTTTCGGGGAGATAGAAATTAGATTCCTCGGTCCGGACTGTACCGACCCTGTTCAAAGTGAGTGTTCCGCTGTCCTCATTTCGAAGATATACTTACTCTGTTATAGCCGGGGCTGTCAATGTTGCATTGCTGTATCTGGCCGGTTCATCTGCTTCTCTATTGGATAACATCCTGGTTGAGAAGGAGCAGCTCGCCAGTGCTGTCTATTATGCTACCGAAGATCATCCCAGCATTGAGATCCGCTTCACATTAACCAGTGTGGAGACAGAGAAACTCGCGAAGGTAGAGCAACGGTTTTTCGAAGTGCTCAAGGACGCTATGGAGAAAGATTTAGACATGAGGTATATCAAGGAGTGCATTGACCGGCAAAGACGGACCTGGAAGTTCTCTACCGAAAGCTCCGCCTCTTCCTTTGCGGAGTACGTGATCTCGGATTTTCTTTTCGGAAAGAGAGACGGATCGACTATGCTTGATGTTGCGACCTTGCAAGAGTACGACGTGCTGGAGAAGTGGAGTGAAGAACAGTGGCGCAGTTTTATCAAAACATGGATTTCTGATGCCAACCATGTCACTATCCTTGGTGTTCCGTCCGTTAAGATGTCTGACACATTAAAGAAGGAGGAGGAAGCTAGAGTCGCAGAGCAAAAGAAGCGCTTGGGTGATGAGGGGCTGAAGAAGTTGGCCGACAAGCTGGAAAAAGCTAAAGCTGAAAATGACAAGGAGATCCCCAAGGAGATGCTGGAGAGGTTCCAAATCCCTGGAATAGAGTCTATCCATTTCGTGGACACTACTACAGCCAGGTCTGGTGCAGCCCTCGATGCCGGGCGCCCATCCCACAAGGCGCAAAAACTGGTGGATGCTGATGGCTCTGATCTGCCCTTGTTCATCCATTTCGAGCATATCCCCAGTAGCTTCGTGCAGCTCTCCCTCCTCATCTCGGCACAGGCCGTACCTGTGCAGCTTCGTCCACTGCTGTCTGTGTATACTGAGGCATTCTTCAACCTGCCTGTCAACCGGAACGGGGAAACCATCAACTTTGAGCAGGTGGTTGTCGAGTTGGAAAGGGATACTGTTGGCTACTCCATGGAAGGAGCTAGAAGCCTAGGAAACTCGGAGATGTTGCGGATCTCATTCCAGGTGGAGCTTGAGAAGTATCACACGGCGATCGCATGGATCCAGGAACTTTCCTGGAACTCGATTTTCGATGTCGAGCGACTCCGAGCGATTACCAGTCGACTGCTCTCCGATGTGCCCGATTCCAAGCGTAGTGGCGACGACATGCTCGCGGCTGTTCATGTGATGGTCCACTATGCAGCAGAGTCTATTGTTCGGGCTCGGAGCACCTTGGTGAAGGCGCGTTATTTGAAACGGATCAAGAAGCAATTGGCAGAAGAGCCGAAGTCTGTCGTTGCGCGGATGGAAGAAATCAGAGATGCGCTTTTCCGTTTCGAGAACATGCGAGTCTTAGTTATCGCTGACCTGGAGAAACTTCAAAACCCTGTGTCAGCATGGAAACCATTTGCTGAGCGTTTGGGTGCAGGTGCCCCTCTACAGCCTATCACGGCTAGAAGACCGTTGCTCAGTGAGGCTGGCCAGAAGTTGGGCGGTAAGTCGTATGTGGTTCCTATGCCGACGATTGATTCATCGTTCGCATATGCTACCGCACGTGGTTTGGATTCTTATGATGATCCAAGACTTCCTGCCTTAATGGTTGCAATTGCATACATGAACGCGGTTGAGGGTCCCCTCTGGGTTGCAGTTCGAGGCAAGGGTTTGGCATATGGCACGAACTTTGCCTATAACATTGACACCGGATTCGTCAACTTCGACGTTTACCGCTCCCCCAACGCCCATAAAGCCTTCGACTCCAGCAAGCAGATTGTTGAGGATCACCTCTCTGGTGCGATGCCCTTCGATCCCTTGATGCTGGAGGGTTCCATTAGCAGCATTGTGGTAAGCTTTGCGAATGAACAGTCGACAATTGGTAGCGCAGCCTCAGGCAGTTTCATCCGACAGGTGATTCGGCGCCTGCCTAGCGACTACAAGGAGCGGGTGCTCAAGCAGGTGCGGGCTACTAGCGTTGATGACGTGAAGGGCGCTCTGAAGGACATCATTCTGCCTTTGTTTAACCCGTCCACGGCCAATATCGTGGTTACCTGCGCTACAGTGCTTGAGGAGGTTTGTCATTCCATGAAGAAATTATGATCTTCTTGTGTATCATTTACTAACTGTCGGTTTAGACTATCAAGGAAGGTCTCCAGGCATCGGGATTCACGCCTGCGGTGCAGCCACTCAAAGAATTCGAAGATGACTATGGGCTGAAGGTCGGCGATGACGAGGACGAGGAGTCCGACGATGACGACGATGAGTATGAAACCGGATCTGAAGATGAAGATGACAGTGATGAAGACATGGAGGATGACGAAGATGATGAGTGATGCAATCTATACGACAACCTCTAGACATGACAAGATTTATCTGAGCCAGTTCCTGGATAACACCTAGGTCGAAAGACCAGCTACCCCTGGGGGCCCAGATATGCCGACCCGTGTGATCTGTATTGTTAGAGATGTCTCCAACTAGCAGACGCGCAATGATTTTTGATGTTAATGATATATCGTACAACATAAGTGGTTAACCACCACCACAAATCTGCACCTAAATCTTAGTTGTGATTATCGGTACCTACCAAACACCCGAGTAAACGTTGCCAGAAGTTTATGAAAAAGCTCTCGTTCTTCTTATTTCATTGCATGTTGTAATAAAAAGTGCTAGCAGATGCTTTCGCTATTGGGCCCACTACTATGATTAACCTGAAGCTTAGTCTCTTAGGTGACATAACCTGTTCTACACTGCCATTATATTTGCAACACACAGCTTCTATCTCTGACCTTTGTGAGAATAATACAATTAGAAACCCCAGGTGATAGAAATACACTCTACTCCTACCAAACTAACACCCAGACCGACAAATTATAAACCAAACCACGTGACAATATGATATCTATATATGAATATGTATAAGGTACACATAGGACAGCGTCCTATTAATGGTAGCGAGATAGAAATCTTAGACCCATATCACCACCATCTTAGTAACACAAAGGGTAATACCGAACCCGAGCAAAGCGAGCTCAAGACATCAGAAGCTGCATCTCCTCATGCCATCTTACCCTACCCTGGACAGCACAGAGCGCAAAGGCGCCACGATGCTTCCCCCGCCACCCTACCAAGTAAATAGATCCAGATACCGCAAAATCCAAAGAGCAACAAACGTCATGGTACACAGCACACACATATGAGATTAAACGAGACCAATAAACCCATCACCACCAAACAACGCATTCAGACTACCAGCTCAGCGACTTCCGCCCCCTAGCCCTTCTCCGCAACAGGATCTTCCGTCCACCTCGCGAGCGCAACCGAGCCAGGAATCCGTGACGGCGCTTCTGCACCCTCCGCGAGGGGTTGTAAGTATCGCGCTTTCCGGCCAACGAGGCACTAGCGGAGAAGGAGCGCGTTTGTTGATTTGCGAAAGAGTTGTTGGTGGAGAGCAGGGAACGGACAGTAGTAGTGGAGGAAGAGGTAATGAGGCTCTGAGAGGGGAAATGTTGTTGTGGGAGACGGAGCGAGGAGAGGGTCGTGGAGGAGAGGGCACGGAACGGTGTTGATAGAGCGGTTGCGGTGGATGTGAGCGGTGCGGAGGTGAGTCTAGTGAATTGATTCAAGTCAGTCATTTTTCTTTCATCAATACTATGAAGTGTCCGAGGTGCCGGGGCTTCCCCTGACAATCCGCCTGTCCTGACTGACGAATCGGGCTATATGGAGAGCCTAGATGCGTGGTCTCATTGGATCCGGGGTGCCAAAATTGGACGGACGTACCTGGTTGCTGGGGCCGCAAAGGACCTAAAAGCGGTCGGCAGAGCCGTACACCGGAAGCAAAGCATAGTGATGAGCAGATTGAAGACGAGTGTGAAACGTAATTGGACCTCGCTGACGCGGAAAGCTGGGGACGGCGATGGAGGGATGCGAGATGTTGTCCGTGACGGCGGACTGAAAATTGAACTCCGGCGCCGCAGTGCACGGACCACCTCCGACTTTTTCTCTCCGCCGGACGATGCAAGAGCGCATCTACAGTTCTCCATATCTGCTCAATTGGTGCAATAATCAATCAACAAGGAAATAAACAAGTTCTTCTTATTCCGACACAATTGAATACGGGCGTCCCTTCTCAGTACTCAACGAAACTCTCTCCTCGGAATTTAAAGAGTCACTACTTCGATAACAACCTTTACATATACTTAAACACTTCTGCGACGAGTCGAGAAACAAACCAAATATCATATACCACAATGGCCGCTCAGGGTCCCTCTCCGCTACCTCCTACCACCATTCTTTCTTCGAAGCCTATCTCCCAGGCTGCCGCGCACGATTTCCTAGCCGCCTACCTCGATCGCGCCGCCACAGACCCCGCCCTCCAACCTAATGCCGGTATTAGCGAACATGGCCCGACCTCGCGCACCACGGCTGCGGCACCCAATCTCATTTTGCACAATCTGAAGCGCGTTCAGGCTGGACTTGCTGGCGAAGTCCTGGGCAGGGACCTGGCTCTTGCGAAGCTCAGCGCTGGAGAGGAGGGCAATGCGCAGCAGGCGGAGGCCGGAACTGAGGGGTGGGAGGATCCGAAGAAGCTTCAGGAAGAGGTTGTTGCTGCCGATGATGATGACGATGTTCGGATGGATATGGACGTTGTTGAGACAGAGCAGAATGCTGAGGCCGCTGCGGGTCTTGATAAAGAGGAAAGGAAGCGGAAGAAGAAGGAGCGCAGACTTGCAGAGAAGAGGGCAAAGGCCAAGTCGGACGCTTGAGTGGGTATGAAAGCGAAAGAAAAGTTACTGTTTTGCGGGAGGTTTGCTACGGGTTGCATCAGCTTTGCTACGGGGTTTATTTTTCTGCTATTTGTCTTGGATTCCCAAGATATATTAGACATGTGCATATCGCATTGGCGTATTCAAGGCGAAACTATTTCATTGGAAGACGATTATGATTGGTTTATTTTAATCCGTGATAAGAACCCAAAAATCAATTCACAATTGAATATGCCTTCAGAAGCCCATAATCGGCGGGTCTCTCCACAACCGGCCCTAAAACACCATGCCAGAAAAGAAAAAGAAGACCTTGAACGTCAACTTTTCACAGCTCACGGTCAGCCGCCTTAACTGGCGTCTCACTATCTTCCTCCTTGAGGCCGGTGACCTTTCCACCCTTCCAACCGAGCGCCTTGAGTCTCTCGGAAAGGATAGGGTGAGAGTAGTGGTAGCTTGCATACATCCAGTCAGCGTCCATGGTGCTCAAGTTCTGGATCTGCAGCTTGAGAAGGGATTGCGCCAGCTGCTCAGAATAACCGAGACCGACAGCAAAGGCATCTTGATGGTTTGGTTAGTATTGTGTTATAATCAGGGTAATAAGTCAAGGGTCCTGAAGACTTACCAGCTTCGAATTCAAACTTGCGACTGAGGATGTTCATCAGAAGCTTGACAACAGCATCCATCGGCGCGAGGGCATCCGAGAACAAGAGGAATCCGATCATGATGGGCTGTTGGCTATAGAAGCCGAACGACTGATACAGAGACTTGTTGTTCACGAATGCAGAGAAGAGCGCAAAAATGTAGAACATATGGAACTAAGAGAGGTCAGTCTGCTGGTATACTGATTCAACCACTCATGATGTGATGATTGGTCTACACTGGGGCCCAGAAACATACCTGAGCAATACCGAATAGCTTCGTGGTGTGGCTGAGACTCCAATGACCCAGTTCATGGCTCAGGACTGCAACAACCTCCTCAGGCTCGCTCTTCTCAATCAAAGTGTCGTAGATAACGATGTGCTTTTTCCAAGGGAGACCATAGAAGTAGGCGTTGCTGTGTGCGCTCCGCTTGCTGCCGTCAATGACATGCAGCTCCTGAAGAGGAAACTTGAGCTTTTTAGCGAGGTTTTCGACACCGGTCTTGATGGCACCCGGTTCAAGTGGTGACAAGTTGTTGAACAAGGGCAGGATAACAATAGGATAGATGGTGATAGCGAAGATCTGGAGGAAGACGCCAAAGAGCCACAGGTAGTAGAAGAAGGAGTTGCCGGTCTTCTGAATGATCTTGAGCACTGCGCTGATGATGGGTGTTCCGAGTACGATACCAAGCATCTGTCCCTTGAGCAAGTCCGTAACCCAGAGACTGAACGTCTGCTTGTTGAAACCAAACTTCTCCTCGAGGACAAAAGTATTGTAGTACGAAATAGGAAGAGACAGAACCGTGCTGATCAGGTTGAATCCGAAGACAAATAGGAGCGTCTGCGAGATTTCACCCTGGAACCGAGAAGGGAAGTACTGTGCCAACAAGAGACCGCTGACTCCCCAAAGCTTGGGGAGAATGTCGCCATAGATGAAAGCGAGATTTTGGATTTGACCGTAAAGAGCTGCAACAAGACCGAATTTGGCTTTCGCGCGACCGTAGGACTAATAAGTCAGGGGACGCCTGATCAGTATGATGTGGTTGCTGGGCTCATGTGGAGGTGCTTACCTGACTCTGATCGAAGACCTTCTGAGAGACCTCGCCCGCCAATACTTGCGGGGGCTTGGTCCGTTGCAGCACTTTGTACTGACGAAGAGACAGAAAGCCTTCCAAAAGAAACTGGCCTAAAGAGAAACCGACGAGGACATTCTTCCAGGGGATGAATGGACGGTCGAGAAGACGCGCCAGTTGCTGTAACGGCCACGATAACCCGAGTTAGCTGGAGCTTCAAGCCGGAAAGGGCAGACCAGATGAACTCTTATAACAAGAGGAAAAAAGTCTGTACGGGAACTTTACCTCGAGGATATACATTGCGACACCCGCAGCACAACAGCAGCCTGGGATTGAGCCTGCTGAGATGTGGCCTTTTGGTTGCGGACAAAGCAATGAATGGGGGAGTAAGAGAATAGTTTAAGTAAAAGAGGAGCTGGTCCGCGCCTTAGTCAACCGCGGCGGTGGCCTCGGAGGCAAGGCCGCAGCAGAACAAACAACTCCTTCATTCAGCTCCCCATCAATGCTTCTTTTTCAATGGCGGCGTATTGGACATCAAAGAAATCTGACTTTTATTTCGTTGCGTTCATCATTCCCCTATACAGCATCTACATAGAGCCATGCAAGCCGGACCGAATAATAAGAATGAACAAAAAAAAGAAAAAAAAAAGTGTAAGAAATATTTTCCACAAGCGTCGTAACACACGTCAAAGAAGTGGTCTGCGCAACTCCAGCCATGCCACCTGATCTTCTAAGTTGCCTTTCCATCCTGCTGCTTGCCCGACCTTCTCGATTCTGCGAACGTTTCAACTGGATATCGTGGAGAATACTCACGATCCCCTGTTCTTCGCACCCAGCAGGTGGAATAGGCGACGATTAGGCCCCCTGTGGTCTCTAATCAGGGAGTTAACTGACACCCCCTCTCGCTACTGCAAACCATTCTACTTCATTCGTGACTTGACCCTGCCAAGACTTGGTGTCAGATACTCTTTGACTTCTCCATCAGCCGTAACCTGATGGATACAAGCCTGGCCATCCAAGCGGGCAATAAATTCTTTAGTTCAGGATGGGCTCAAGGGTGTTACCACTGTTTCCGTAATTAGTAACATCATTCTCTCAAGAGCTGGGAAGAAATCGCAAGCTAAGGAGTGGAGCATAAGACTTACGCGACAATGTTGGCCCAACCGATCAGACGCCAGTGCTTCTCAATTCTCCGACTGATGGCAATCTTCTCTCCGACCTCGGTACAGGCAGGGCTGGTCAAGCTGAGCTTGGCAGCATCAGCCTTGACACCCACGACCTTAGCTCCGGTAGCCGTAGAACCGATGTTGACCATGAGAACCTCGTTCTTAGTAAGCTTGGCAACCTTGGCCTGCTTGCCATCGGCAGTCTTGACACCGAGCAGACGACGAAGCAAGAAGTAGTTGACTTCCAACTCAGTGTAGATAGCGGGAAGGCGTCCGCGGTGACCCAGGACGAAACCAACGAGACGATCAGCACGGCACAGAGTAGGGTCCACACGAGTACCGACACCAATCAAACCACCAGGGACGGCAAACTTGAGGTCATTGTGCTCGGCAAAGAGGGACATGACCCGAGAGAAGATGGGACGGCACTGAATCTTGCCGTTCTCGTCCTTGGTGACCAGACCGGGACGAATCTCAATCTCGTCGTTCTGCTTCAGAACACCAGTCAAGATCGAACCACCGGCAACACCACCCTTCAGCTCCTCAATTTCGGCACCAGGCTTGTTCACATCGAAGGAACGAATGACGATCATGTGGGGGGAAGCGGTGAAATCGCGGACGGGGACGGGAATGTGCGAAACCAGGTATTCGTTGACAGCATCGATGTTGTACTTGAGCTGTGCAGAAATGGGAATGATCGGAGAGCCATCGGCGACAGTACCACGGATGAACTTCAAGATCGACTGGTAATGTTGCAGGGCACCATCCTCTCTCATCAAGTCCACCTTGTTTTGCAAAATGATGATGTGGCTGAGCTTCATGATTTCGATGGCAGCCAAGTGCTCCGAAGTCTGAGGTTGAGGGCAAGTTTCGTTTCCGGCAATAAGGAGGAGGGCAGCGTCCATGACGGCGGCACCAGACAACATAGTACTCATCAGAATATCGTGACCGGGGCAGTCGACGAAACTAAGTTGGGTCTCTGAGTTAGCATTGAAGAATTTGTCCACACTTGAGTCCGAGGTTCAACGTACGACACATGTCTCAACAGTCTGTAGCGGCCACCGCAGCCATCCCTCTCACAAGGCGGGTCGACTTCCTTCTCACTCTTAAAGCTCTTAAAGCATGTCGGCCTAGGGCACTCGGGGTTGTCGCACTTGTAGATCTTTGCGTTGGCATAACCCAGCTTGATCGTAATGTTTCGCTCCAACTCGTTCTTGAAACGGACAGTCTGGACCTCGGAGATAGCCTTAACGACCGTCGACTTGCCGTGAGCGACGTGACCGATGGTGCCAATGTTGATTGTGGCTTGGCGCGCAATAATTTCGGGGGTCAAAGGAGTCAGGGTGGACAGGTCCAGAGTCTCCGGATTCGGCTGCTCGGGCAGCTCTGGCCGCTTGGGCTGGGGAGGAGGAACTTCCTTCTTCATCGCAGACTTCAGAGGCTTGGCCTCCTGGTCGAGGGGCTCTTGCTCTTCGATGTCATCGTGACCGTTCGCATCGAGCATGGGGGATCCAGGCTGGGACTCGTCGTCAGAGAAGTCGCCGTTGGCAGCCATGATTGCAAGTGAAATCGAGAGACAACAGCGGTTCTAGAAAAGGGGGGTTATGGGGGGTGGAGAGGGCGAGGGTCGAGGGTCGTGTTGTTTGATGAAAATTGCTGCTTGAGAACGGAGGCGATATGATACGGTTCGGCCAGTGGGGTTGTGATTTGTGCAGTGGAGAGCGAGTGGGCGGTGGGCGGCGGCAGGATTTATACTGACTCACCTCTTGGCCAAAAAATGAACCTCACCTTCTTAGCCAACTCGCACCTACTTGAATAATATCATAAAATATTCACCTCTACTCTGTGATAACCATCATGTTTCTTCAAAGTGGAACGGCTCATCGAAATTACGAAGTTTTCGAACTGTATGTGACTAACAATATGACATACGGGGACTCGTACAGACGCAAAAAGCGACCGAAGATGAAGCAGTGAAGGGCCAAGAAGTTCGAATGGGGCGCCAGTAATGTGACTATTTGCAGGGTATCGGAGTATACGTGGAGCACCTCTAGCTTTAGAATGACTGTAATGGTATAATTTCACACATCCGTTTGCCTATCAACAAGGGTTGGGTATATACAGTAAGACAATAATCAAATAGGTAAACCTATTCTTCATCGCTCTCTTCGCTGGAGAGTTCATCCTGGCTCACTTCTTCATCATAATCCTCTTCCGAATCCTCTAGCGTCGAGGGGTCTTCAGGAGCCAGCATCACAAATGCTTTGAGGCAGGTAATCCGGTTGCCTGTGCCATAAGCATTCAAGAACTTACCGACCTGGATTTCCTTCTTCTCCTTCTCTGCCGACTTCTTTTTGGTACCCTTTGTATCCTTCTTCACCAGATCGGCGCCTTGTAGCAGCCAAACACGAACCAAGCCCTCGCTATTTCCAGTTACTACCAGGTGGTTATCCTTTCCAGCAACCCGCTGACCGTTTAGATCAAGAACCTCGAAGTCCTTTACTCTTCCCGGGAAGCCTGCTGCTCTACCACCCAGCTGGGCAACAGCTTCCGCATAAGGAATGGGTGAATCATCCTCCTCTGTCGCCTCTTGGACCTGCTTAGTAGAGTAGAAAATAACCCTACCATCTTCCGTGGAGACGGCGAGCAATTCATCGCTGTCATCGGAAGAGGGCGTGGGATTTATGTACTTCATCTGGTGAAGCTTACTCCGGGGGCTGGGGAAAACCCTGCAAATGGGAGTGGAATCCTGTAGACTATGTTAGAAATGGTCATGCAATGGGATATGCGACATCAGGCTTACAATTCCGAAGACAACTGCACCCCACTCGAATGCCACAGCAAACTCATCACCCTTCGAGTTCCATACTATCTTCCTTCCTTCCCCAGTGCTCCATTTGCCCTCCTTGACGCTCTGCAAAATCTCTCGGTTGAAGTTCAACACACCAGCCTTCTTCCCTGTGACCAGGTTCCAGAGCCTCATGCACTTTTCTCCCTTGCCCACACTCAACATCAACTTCATACTAGGATGGACAGCGATATCATTGACACCGGACGGGGTGCCTCCGGGGGGCGCTGTGTCACCGCTGGGCCTACCCTGAACTTTCGGACGAGGGGCCTTGATGGTGGATACAACAGAGAAATCCCGAGTCCTAGTAACAGAAATTGTATTATCCTCAGAGCCAACAAGGATCTTTGATCGGGAGGGAAATTCCAATGCCGAAATCGGAGCGGAGTGATGCATCAGTGTGCCCAACTCGCGGTTTTTGGGATTCTCGAGGATTTTGTTGCCCGCGAGAGTCGGTACGGTGGGATATAATTCATTCACTGCAACAGGAGCAGCAGACAGGGAGTAAAGATTGACACGCTCATCTGTAGCACCACTGGCTAGGATAATTTGAGCGTTTTCTGTTGCATCAGCCTTCGGCAATGGCGACAAGGCGAGACACCGAATGGCAGATGTATGAGCCTCAAACAGGAAGGTATCCACAAACTGTACAAGAGTTGACTTGTTGCCATCTTCATCCGTATCCTTTGATGCAAAAGAGGTAGGCGATACAGCCGCGGTGAAGCCGTGCAGCACCTTTTCATAGGATCCGGTGATAATTTGCAGCGTGATTGACGGACCGTCGGCCGCTGAGGTGGAAGGAGCCTCTTCACTGTCTGTAGCCTTAGCAACCTTGGTTGGCTGCGTAGAGCTCTGGCGGTCCTTGGCCGCCTCGTCTCTCTTTCTCTTTACCATGATTGTTGCCTGCTTAGAAAATGAAATCGGCGAGGAATGTGTTTGCTTTTGCAGACTAACTATCGAAGACCATCTATCTGAGCGGGCAACTTTTTTTTTCTGCCGGACGTTATCATCGAGTCGGGGCGGTGAGACGCGTCTTCCTAGCCTTTTATGCCTAAGGTGTCAAGCGGCCTGAATGCGGCAATCACTCGGGTGAGCGCGAGGAAAAACAACAAGAAGGCAGGGGAGCAACAACAGAGAACTGCGAAAGGAAGCCGCCGGCGCTACTTCCTTTGATGCCTCAGGCCTCCATTTTTCTGGTGGCCAGCCATTCAGCGGTTCACATCATACCTACATAAGGAACAGGCGTGGAATGGTAGACTATCGCCCCTAGTAAGGAATCTAAAGAATAGCTAGGGGACTCCTACCCGCCTACTACCTCTCATCGCAGCACCAACACCCAAACCTGGCGCTCTCTGCTGCTCCCGGCACTCACCCGGAATCCTCCAACCAACCAAAGTTCCTCCCATACTACCCGTCCAGAAGTCTCATCACCACTAACACCCCCCAAAAAATCCCTTCCCAGCGAAATCTTCGCGTCGTGTCCTCTGCATCCCATAACAACACAACCCCATCCTTTTCATCATTTCTGAGCGATTTTTTCCATCTGGATGACTTCGCTCAATCCACTCCCCTTAATTTTAGCGCGTTAATCGGATGCTGTGTTCCCCGAAATAGACTCCATGCTCCGTGACGAGCTTCTCCGGTCTAAGAAAGATGAGATCGCGTACGTATTTTATTTTTCCCAGCGATCCAATCTACTCCCCTGGTCTTTGCGATATTGAATTATCGCTTACTTGGAATTTTAGACGTTGTTTGTCGTCGCGGAAGCGCAAACTGAGCGAGCTCTACTTTGCGACCGTAGGCTTCGCGGGCGCGACCGAGAACGCTCCGGCGGACTCGCTCTATCACCACAAGGAACAGGCGTTCCTCGACGCCAACGACCTCTCAAAGTAAGTCGGCCACATAAAAGTCACCCATATAGCTATTGTTTCATATGTGCAAATTATTTCAAATTTACCTATCCGGTCCACTGCGTGGTTATTCTACTATTTTCAAGTATCTCCACCTTTACTGAGGAGCATACGTTAACTGTCCGCAGAGGCCGTTATTTCAATCCAGCTACACTCCCACCATTACCAGACTATGCGTCTATTTTAGCGCGCAAAGCCAGGGAAGCGGAGGAGACAGCTGCGGCGACACGACCGGCGTCAGCGGAATTGACTGCCAAACCTCACGATGCTACGGCCCCCGTCCCCCAATTGGGAGCCCAGAGTGCTGCTGCGGGGGCCATTGCCAATGATGTTGAGCGCCAGCCAAAGTATCAGAAAGTAACAGAACAGAAACCTTCTGATCACCAGCCTGAGCACCGAGTGACAACTAATCAAGTCGCACCTGCTATCGTATCTCAGGTCTCCCAAGTGCCCGATGTTTCGCCTGCTGCAATAGCGCATCCCGCGCAGCCATCAGCTACTGACAACAGGGCGTCTCCATTGAAAACGGAAGCACGCCCAAATGTCTATAGCAATGGAATCGGGGAAGGTAGTGCATCCCCAGCCCAGGCACAGCCAAAGCCCAATGTGGATGCACGGCCACCTGGAACTCCAGAACTTTCGTCCGCTCAAAGGAAGGATGGTATACGGCCTTCCCTCCCTCAGGGCCGGCCCGCCCAGGTTCCTGAGCAACCACTCTCTCCTGTTTCTTCAGCAGGGCCTTATTCCAATAATACCCCAGTGCCAGTTCCCGTTTCACCTGCTACCAGCCCCGCGGAGGAGATTAATGATGCGCCCCACAAGATTCCAAGCCCCAAAGATGAAGAGGCAGTCAAGGCACCGCCTAACTTGGTACCTTCCACTCCCGATGAGCAACTTCGCCTGGAGGAGGCTCAGTCACTCCAACAGAGCAACCTAGCTGCGGCTAAGACAAGTGCGGACGAGGTAGACGGAGGCACTGTCACGAGCGAGGTGATTCAGGAAGATGTTGTGACCTCGCCGGCTGACATCAAAGAAACGCCTAAAGAAGCGCCCGAGCTGGCACCTGCCCTTCCGTCACTTGATCATAAGAGACTTGACGGGGTTATTGAGACAACGGATGAGTCACGGCCTTCCACACAAGCCGGAGCTGTGCCTCAAGCTGAGGCTAGCAGCAAGGTGCCTACGGAAAATGCTCCAGTGCTAAAGAAACCGACCCCCCCAGCCCATCCGGTACCGTCCCCACCGGAAAGAATGACAACCAGGGTATCCTCTGGCGCTATCAGACACAAATCTGTTTCCGAGATTTTGGGAGAACCTCCAAAGACCCCCGTCTCGCCATCGGACAAGGGAACTCTCCCCGAGAAGCCTACAGAAATAGCACGGGATGTGTCCACTGCGACCCCTGACTCTGCAGCAAGAATGCGGTTCAAAGATCGGAAAGCGCGGGAGAAAGAGAGGACCAAATTGTCTACCGTCGTCTTTCCGAAGCAGCAGCAGCAACAACAAGTCCAAGAGAAAAGCGAGTCCATGGAATTGGTCCGGCAACACGCTGGTGATCTTGCCAAGATCAATGAGGAACAAGACTATCTCTTCACCCTCTTCCAGAACCGAGCATATGCACCTCCCCGGGGTACAAGTCTCAGCACACTTCTCGCCTCAGCTCATAAGACTTTAACCACTTCCAATCACTTCCTCGATTACCAGGAACAGATGGATTGCCGTACCTTGCGTCGAATCTACTCCCTGCAAAATGCGAATCGATGGCCCCTGCGCCAGTTGAAACGTTCGGTTGAACCACCTCGAGAGGCAACACATTGGGATGTTCTTCTGGATCATGTGAAGTGGATGCGCACTGATTTCCGAGAAGAGCGGAAGTGGAAGATCGCAGCTGCAAAAAGCTGTGCTGACTGGTGTGCGGAGTATGTTAATAGTGACCCCGAACATCGGTCACTGCTCCGCATTCAAGTAAAGACCCCATCATTGAATGTCGAGGCTAAAACCAGCATGATCTCGCCGCCCGAAGAGACAGGAGATGAAATGGCCGCAGTATCTCACCCTACGCCAGACTTAGTGCCCTCCACCGAAGAGGATTCTGTTAGTGAAGGATTCAATGATGAGCCGCGTCACGATTTACATGACACAGTTGCACCAGCTGCAATCTTCTCCCTCGGTACCGACGAGTTCACGTTCTCATTGGACATGACGGCGGCGGCTCGAGAGATTCTCGATAACCTGCCAACATACACACCTGTCACTATCGCTCCGGACACGAACTTGCCAGCATTTAAAGAACCTCCGGACTCTGTATGGAAGACTGAAATTCTGCCCGTTTCAAAGTACGCGTCGGGCAAGATCACTTTCCCCGACGATGAACCACCTCCCAAGCGTAGCCGTTACGACTACTCACAGTACCAATCGGATCCTGAGCAAGCCGTGCTGGATTTGCCGCCAGAACAAACCAATGTCGCACTGTTCCGACCCGAAAACAGACATATACGTGATAGAATACATCCGGGTCATTCGTTCCGGCCTCCGACTGAGCATCCTATGCCCTCCGTTGGCTTCTTTGAATCTAGACAGTCGTCTCAGTGGACATATGCGGAGGATGATGAGCTACGGCGCTTAGTCAAGGAGTACTCATACAACTGGTCTCTTATCTCCAACTGTCTCACACCGTCATCACAGTTCACATCAGGAGCAGAAAGGCGGACACCCTGGGAATGTTTTGAGCGCTGGGTTGGCTTGGAAGGCTTGCCAGCCGACATGTCTAAGACACAGTACTTCCGCGCTTATCATCAAAGACTTGAGGCGGCACAGCGAACTGTACTAGCGCAGCAACAAGCCGCCCAGCAGCAGCAGCAACAACAACAGCAGCAGCAACAGCAGCAACAGCAACAGCAACAACAGGGCAACAATAGCAATCCTCAGTCACTACCCCAAGTTCGAAGGAGGACGACGCAACCTCTTAGGGTCGATCGCAAGAGATCCTCCAAGCACCTTGCATTGCTTGATGCTATGCGTAAACTAGCTAAGAAGCGAGAGACCATGCTCCAGAAGCAGCAACATGGTAAGACGTGAAACAGTATGATTACTTTGGCTTTTGCTAACTACTTTGATTTGCTGTAGCCTCGCACTTGGCATCGTTACGGAAAGTTAATGAAGCAAATCAACCGAAACCTCCAATCACGTCGCCCGCTGAATTCAGCCGACTCAAGTACGAGCGTGAATTGAAGCTTCAGGAGCGGCAAGAACAGTATCGGCAGCAAATGATTGCCCAGCAAAGAGTATGACCGCGTCTCTTTTCGTGCACCCTATTCCTGACTAACATCTATGTTCAAGGCGAACCTAGCAGCCCAACGTGCCGGGCAAATACCTAACCAGCAGCCGATAATGAATGCCCCAGGACGCACTCCTGGCGGCCTGCCTCATAACCCTGGAACTTCGGCTATGACCGGCAACACTACGAACGGGCTTCCGAATGCATTGCCTAACGGGCTGCCCAACGGATTGCCTCCCGGAGTTGGTGCAAACCAAGCACGTCCCCATATGCAGGGTATGCCCAACGCTACACCTGTAAATGGACCCATGCCTTCGAATCCAATGGCGATGAAGATGATGCCACAATCTGGAATTCAGCAGAACAATGGCGCCCGCCCTGGAATGCCTATGCAGACCCCTCCTGATAATACGCGTGTTATGCGGGAGGCAAATCGGCTTCAAGAGCAACAACGGATCCTCCAGACCAGACAGCAGGCCCAGCCACAGCAACATCCGCATCAGCAGCAGGCTCAGCCCCAACAGCCCCAGCAGCAATTCCATAATCAACAGCAGTTTGTGCCTCAAGGATCTCACTCTCCGAATCTGAATATGCCCAACGTCAACGGCACTACGAACAACCCTGCGATGATGGCGGCGCTGCAGGCTGGAGGTGGAATGCAAAGCCCTTCTTTTCACAATACTACCCCACAGGGAGTGTCTACGCCCTCCCCCCGCATGGCTCAACCCAACCTCCTGTCCGGTGGTGTTGTCCCAACTATCAGCACTATCCAAAGCCAAATCCAGCGGAGCAACCCGAACATGCCTCCGGAGCAAGTTAACAAGCTTGCTACGGACCGGTTGCATCAGTATCAACAGCAGCGCATGTCTCAAGTTGCCATGAGTGCTGCTGCTGGCAATATTGGCAGCGTGCAAGCCAATTACCAGATTCCCCACGAGGCCAGTTTCCAGTCCCCGCAGCCGGGCCTCAATGGCGCGCCGGGTATGCAAGTACCTCAGGCCCAAGGATATTCCCCCATGATGCGTGTTCCCCAACCTGCTCAGCAAAATCGTGTCGGTGTAGGGAGCTCTCCCGCTATGAATGGGGCGGTTCCTCAGCCGAGCCGGAGTGTGACGCCGCAAACCCAGCGCAGTGGCAGTGCCCAGGCTGGCGCAGTGGCCGGGACAAGCAAGAGTCCTAACCCTCCGCAAGCTCAGACAGCGACGAGCTGATGACCTTGCCTTTATCTTCTCTTCTTCGTTTGTAAATATTTCCCATCCACCTTATCACCTTTTATTCACTATCCCTGCTTCGAGCACCTACCTTGACACCCAGCGATCCTCTTTATTAACGCCACCCTTACTGCCTCCAACCCCTTCGTCCCTTTCACCTCCCCCAAACCCCGCCACCTGCCTTTGGAGACAGACTTTTCTGTCTTATTTTTCTCCAGATTTCTCTTGTTATACCGGCAGCTTTTCACCGGCTTTCGGCCGGTTGCCTGTTATGCACAAATGGCTTCCTTTTCAATCGACCGGGGCTATGTCCCCCTCCATTTTCAACTTTGTACTACATGTATTGATAGGACGGATACAAAAAGGTCAGGAAACTATTGGAACGTCATTTGGAATGGATTGCATTAGAGCAAAAGAGCAGTTAATGACTACGACTGTACGATTACTATTGAGAATAATTGACGCACCTGTACTACATCGTAATTGCTCTGGGGTTGGGTTTAAGCGCGCGTCTAACCCGCGTGTTTTGCCACCGCCTTCTTTTTATCCCGCCGATTGTCTAGTCCTCCACCAGCTCCAGTTCTACATACTCAGTAAAGACTCGCTATATGCTGCGGGTGCTCATTTCGCACATATGGATTAAAGGCAGCTTTTCACTCCCCTAATTAGTTCTCTCCGAATCAGCAGCCCACGAAGGGGCACCGTCACAATGTCGTCCTCACAATCGCCGCAGAACAGCAATGCGGACTCCAGTTCCTCAGCGAAGCCATTCTCTCTATCATTAGGCGGAAACTCCACGAAAGCACCAGCAAACGGCCAGCCGAAGAAAACATCCTTCAACATTCAAGGCGCGGCGCGTTCCACCGACTCACCCAGCCGAACACTCGCGCGCCGACCTCACCACCTGCACGATGACGAAGAATCCGATGAAGAAGCCGCGCCCACTCATGAAGCCGTCACCGGGTTCGACACCTTAACGGGAACGGCTATTCCCGCCAACAAGGTGGAAGAAAAGCGCGAGCTGGTCATTCCCGTCGCTGGAAATAATAATTGGAGGGACCGTCCGGGCGTCAATCTCCGGAAACCTAAGGGCAAGAACCTCTTGCCAAAGGAGGTCCAGGCCATTCAGGAAGCTCAGAAACGGGGTGAAGTTGCTGGAGATAATGTTGAGACAGAGCGTCCGAGTATGGCTTATGGGTTGAGTTTTGCGCAGCCGGCTTCGCAGGATTCGGCCCAGGCGGCGGATAATGATCGCCCGATGAAGGACGTTACTGAGCCTGCTGCTACTCCTGCTGCCGAGGTAGAACCCAAGCCACTCACGCAGGATGAGATTGCCTTGCAGGCGCTTATTCGAGAGACGAAGGGGGAGCCGGAGCGCAGGTCGGATCTTGTTATTGAGTCGGTTAATCGAGATGACGATGATCGGGCGGGCGGGCGATATGATGAGACGTCTTCGTTTCGAGCGGATGTTGCGGCGCGCCCGGAGTCTGCGAGCTTGGATCAGTATAACGCAATCCCTGTTGAGGAGTTTGGCGCTGCGCTACTTCGTGGTATGGGGTGGAAGGAGGGTCAAGCTGTAGGAAGAGGAAAATACGGTGGTTCTGCAAATCAGGACAATAAGCCGCGGGTCCCGGAGCGTCGTCCTGGGTTCCTGGGGATTGGAGCGAAAGATGTGTCTGGGGGGAAGGGTGCAGAGGCCGAGCTCGGTGCATGGGGCAAGGCTGCCATGCGGAAAGGGTCCAGGAAGGGAGGGAAGGAGGGCGAGTCCAATCCGGAAGGTGTATATATGCCCATCATGATGCGAAACAAGCAGACCGGCGAGTTCATAACAGAAGAGGAGCTCGCGGCGCAACGGAAAGAGGCCAAGAAACGGGGCGACGATGACGAATGGAAGCAACGACGAGATCGCAATTTGGAGAAGAGTGGCCGTGATAGGGATCGTGATCGTGGCTCACCGCGTCGCGACTACGATGACGATGAAACTGATCGCTATGACAGACGGAGGACCGGATCTTCAAGGAGAGACCGGAGTTTGTCATCCAGTGACCGGCATTCAAGACGGCGCAGATACGAAGATGAAGATAGCGAGAGTCGTGATGACCGCTACTACCGGGACAGAGACCGTGACCGGGATCGTGACTATCGCCGGGATCGTGATCGAAATGGAGATCGGGAACGAGAGCGTGACAGGGACAGAGATCGGGATCGGGACCGCAGCAGACGGTATCGTGATGATGATCGCCATAGTAGCTCAAGGCATTCTTCGTCGCATACATCGAGTAGACATCGTGACCGGGATAGGGAGCGAGACAGTGATCGCGACTCCCGCCGGAGAAGGAGAGACGATGATCGATGAATCGGGGAAGACGTGGCCTGCTTTTCACCTTTCAATTTCCTAGACATATTCAAATCCGCATATACTACTTATGATCTTGATACCATTTTGTATGACACAGGACGCGTTGGAAGGACTGTCGAGAATGATACTACTAATGACGTTGACATTTTTAATACCGACGACTAGTTCCATGGCCAGGTAGAATATCTGCCTGAGTAGCTTCCAATCCAGAACAGGTAGTGTCATTTCAAAATAAAAGAAACTTTTTATGTACTGGTCTCCTACCAGAAAAGAACAAGTACTCCCACTAAAAGCGCCACCATACACACGGTATTTGCAAACATGCAGATTAACTCGGGTCTATTTGTACATAGTCTCATTCAAAAATCTTAGTTTTATCCACACTTGGGTTCTCCTATACCCCCAGCATGACCACATCTTTCTCATGCTCCGGGACACTGTCTTCAGGGAGACTGCTGTAAGGGTCATACGGGGTAGAAACGCCCAATCCTCCAAGTCCCACACCACCGTCCATCTCTGCCAGAACCCATTCCACGAGGTAGCTTTCGTCGGAAAGTTCTTCGACACGACGATAATGCCGGTCGGTATACGAGGCCAGAGCTTGCAGGATATCCTTCATGCCTGCTGAAGTGCGACCCTCGCGGCGACGCTTCGCCATACTTGAGGTGGCAAGCTCGACAAACGTTGAAGCCGGGTAGGAGCGGAACAAAGCGAACAAGATTCGCTGTGCGACCCTGGATGTTCGGGCGTTCGTGTTCCAGTCACGAAGTCTAAGGAGGAGGGTACATAGATTTTCGGGGTCAAGGGTCTGAAGAACCTCGTCGATCGAGGGGTTGCCAGTTAGGCTGTTGGCACGCTCGCTGGCTTCGGAGTCGGTCGCTGTTGGGTCATCTGCGGCATCGATGGCAGAAGTAAACAAGGACAGTAGCCGGGCTGGGTGGTTGAGTTGAAGCGCGAGTGTGATGGCTTCGCGATATGCTCCGGCACGAATGTAGTTCTGGAGCTGTTGATCTTGCTCAATACGAGCCGAGTTGGCGTTTACAGTAGCGGTGTATGTAGCAGAAGTCGTGTCTGTCCAGAAGGTAACAGTTGAGTCGGCAGAACCAGAGGCAAGGCCGTAAGGAGAAGTTTGTGAGAGGGTAGATGAAGACAGAACGTCATCACGGCAGCCAGATGGCGTAGGGCTGGCTAGAGCCCAGACACGGTCTTCATGGTTGTCGAGAGTCGTCTCGACCTCGCCGCTGTAAGGTGACCAAATCTTCACCAAGCCATCTGCGGCCGCAGACGCAACTAGAGGTCGCACCTGCGCAACTGCATTATGTGTCATTGCTTCGTCTTCATCCTCATCCTTGTTGGACAAGTCCGAAGGTGGCAGCCAGATCACCTTGAGCACACTATTTGTGTGGCCTTCGAAGGTGAGAAGACAGCTGTAGTCCGACAGGCTCCAGATCTTGATAGTCTTGTCTCCCGATCCTGTAGCAATCATGCCTCGGTTTGTGCTCGTTCCGGTGTCGGATGTGAGGATAGGAGTACCACGAGGTGCGAATCGTGCTGACCAGACTCCCCTCTTATGTCCACGCAGGACACCCACAACGGAGCCATCCTCTATAGACCAGATCTTCACAGTACGATCCTGAGATGCGGACGCGAACAACGTTGATGTCGGATTGATATCCAAAGCATTAATATCTTTTTCATGGGCTTTCCGTGTGTATACTGCCTTGGGATTGTGAGGCTTGGATGACTTGAGGGGAGCCAATTTACCCGTGTCCCATCGTTTGATAGTACGATCCTGAGATCCTGTGAGCAGGAAAGCAGGAGGATGGTTCAAAGGGTCGTTGTGAGCAGGGGTGTTGGCTGGCGGAGGAGCTCGGGGGAAACTGATGGCACCGAGCGACTCGGCATGTCCAGTGAGGACAGCAAAGCATGTGTAAGAGGAGTTCTTCGGGTCAAGCCGCCAAAGACGTGCAGTATTATCCTTTGCACCGGTAACAAGCCAGTGGCCTGACCAGTCAACGTCGATACAAATGATGATGTCGTCGTGGCCTTCTAAGTGCGTGACATCGGCACCAAAGTAGTCACCCTCTCCGGTAGCGGGCCTATCCTCGGAAGGCCCAACTGAAACCACCCTTATGCTTTCGGTGTTGGTAGCCAACGCAAGCATCGACCGATCGGGACCGACATATGCGAGATCGATGATATCATCATCGTTGCCGGAGATACGTCTGATAACTGGCAATGGCTCAAGGGTAGACCCAGCTTTGTAGTCGGCGAGTGGCTGAAGTGAGTGCAGTCGGATGGTCTGGTCAGCATGCACGGTCATTGCGAATGACATGCCTGCGGAATACTGGATCGCCACCACGGCCTCGAACTCGGCCGCAGCTTCTTGCTCGTGAGTAACCTCTCCTCCGCGGTTGCAGTCCCACACACGCAAACGGCCGTTCTCTCCTCCCACCAAGCACAATTCGCTGTCAGCAACAAAGCAAGCTGCTTCCACGCTCTCAAGGACAGGGATGACACGGCGCGTCTTGAAAGTCCGCACATCCCACACAATGACAGTCTTATCGCGGCCTGCAGAGAGCAGCGCATTCTCTGCGGGCGAGTACGAAAGACTCCGTACAACGGAGACGTGCGATTCCAGTGATGCGATAGGCTTTCTCTTGTTCAAATCCCAGACGCGGACCATACCCTCCTCATCACCCGAAGCGAGTCGAAAAGCGCCAATCGAATCGGCTACTTCATCCATGTCCTCATCCTCATCAGAGTCATGGGTTTTGCCCTTGGGTCCCTTCTTCTTCTTCTTTGATGATGCTTTGTCGTTGTCCTGGTAAGGTACCTGGAAGAAACACAGCGCCGAAATAACACCACCATGACCATGGAAAGTATGTGTGATATATCCACCCCTAATATCCCAAACCTTAATAGAACCATCCGCAGCGCCAGTTGCTAGGAGAGTACCCGTGGGATCGATCGCAGTGGTGACAACAGGGGCTGTGTGAGGTTTCAAGCTTCTAGCTAGTTTGGCCTCGACGGTTCGTGTGTTTTCATCGAAAGGCGTCAGAGAGTAGATGCGCATGGACATCGAGCGCGAACAGAGAACGACATGCGAAGCCGATGGAGAAACTAAGCGCAGTCAGAACATACCTCCTAGCTAGCGTAGGAAGGGGAAGCAAAAGAGAGAGAGAGAGAGAGTTGCATACTGGCCAAGCTAGTGATTATCTCGCCGTCCTAAAACATCCGGGTTAGCCATTTGCGACTTCTAAATGTATGAGAGAAGCTTACGCCTTCAAGGCTGGCAACTTGGTCACCGGTCTCAAGGTCGACCACGAGAGCATCCTCGCCAATGCAAGTCGCCAATAGACGACCACTAGCATCCAGCGCAGTGCTTCCTCCGGTGTAGATGGGACGAAGAGTTCGAGACGCCTCGAAGGTCGTCTTAACCACGGCTTTGGACATGATGGGGTAATTTTCTCAACAACCAGAAGTCTAGGAATCTACCGCGCCATCATACGACAGAACAAATCCGCGCTTTCAAAGAAATTGGCAGTTGCGTACCGCCGTCCGAGTCGCCGTCGCACCGAAACTTTTGGGTCTTTTTTCGAGATGTTTGCTTTGTTTGACGAGCTGGTGGAACCCCGCTAGCTCGTGATCTAACCGCCCCAGACGCCGGAGCCGCCTAGATGACTGACACTTACCATTTGGGGCAGGACTACCATCGATCTCGCAATCCATCAAGTTGCTTTTGCTGGTCTCGGATATCTTCATCATCAAGGCAGAAATGCCCCTTACGGTTACTTTTCGATGAATGTTGTTGACATGCTCACGCGATGGGGCGGCGAGCATATCTCAATCGGCTGGCTCTGGTAGGCTCATGTCTCTTTTCGTTGTATATGCTCAGCTGCGAGTGGGGACACATCTGATGTAGTTTGTTGTCTGCGCGAAAGTCTGTTTGCTTTTGAAGTAATATGCAATCAACACGAATGGGATCTTCCTTTCAGGCATATCTACATCTTCGTCTTCATACCTACCTGTGTCCTATCTCAAGATTGGCAGTCACCTCCTCTACCTAGCAACACTTCCCCGTTTCCATTTTACGTGTTACCATCTATTATATCAGGCGAATAATTAACAGCCATCTAGGGCCGGTCTCCTTACGAAGCTCCTGAGCGCCCTGCGAGCTCTGCGATGAACTCAGGAAATGTCACTCAGCGGACAGTATCAAGCTTACATGCGGACGGATACGTCCAGCATTACGATGAAAGAGGCCATCCAATCAACCCGGAATCTAAGTCCTTTGGCAGGGAACTCCGTAGAGCCAAGAATGATATTCTTTCCACAATGGGCATTGTTGTCAGCGAAGATGGCAATGTCAGTGGGCCCAGCGAACAGCAGAAGCTCGATATCATAGCTGCGGAAAATGACTATGGCTTGGTTATGGCCACACTGGACCAAGTCTCAGTCTTCCTTGGCTCTTGGTGGACCTCTTCCCTTCTAGGTCGGGTACAGGTAAGAGCGCCATATACAGTAATGGCATCTATAGCTATGGGACAGCGGGTTAATTGAACATTTATCAGACATTTAAGAGCTATACGCGGCTGCCCCTGCTAAGCATTGTGCGTCTTGAACGCTCTGCCTACGGAATATGGGGCTTCTATTTTGCTGGGATTCCGGCATGGGCTGTATCCACATGCATATCCTTTTGTCGACATCACCCCTTGGAACGTCTAATTGCTTTCTTGCAGAATTTGTTCCCGGAAGATGACGTAGGCTCGAAGCTTATGCGGGCATTGTTGAATGTCGTATATTCAGCGTAAGTATCCCGAATCAACCATTCCGCTATCTTCTAATGCCATGTATAGGGGCAGAGGAACCATGCTGGTTCTGGCGATACAGACGTACATGTATTCCCTCTTACAGTCCCTTCACATCGTTCCTGCTCACTCTATGCCCGGGATACGCTTCTTCTTGCCCTTTGGTGAGCTAGCTTCAATGCAGCTACCCAATCTACCCACAGATTATTCTGTCGAGTCGCTTAGCGGATTCCTACTAAGCCTTCTAAAAACTCCGGCGCTACTCGTTTACCTCTCTGTATGTCTACGCCCAGTAATTGAGGTAAGGCTTTATCGGTTTATTCGGCGAAGACTGCCAAAGCCCATCTACGCGGACGAACTCTCTGTGAAAGTGGCGTATGACAATGATCTTATTGACTGGATGATGCCAGCTCTTGGGCGTCGATCAGAGGAAGAGAATCGTCGCAGTAATCTCTCCTTCACGGATGACCTGATGTACGAGCTAGGTTTCTTCCGATCATGGGTGCTATCTTGGTTTGGCCTCAAATCATTGCGAACGGCACGAGCATCGGAGCAAGCAGCAGACGCTCGTCGTAGGCGAGAGTGGCTGGAGTCCCTTCCTCAAAGCATAGAGCAGTTGCAGCATGAGCGGCAATCCAGAACCCGTCGACCACGAAGACGGTCATCCGAGCCTCCGTTTACGAGTGGACATATCCATCATGACCAATCACGTTCTAATACTCCAAATCGACGCTCACTCGACCAAACAGCGGATTTAGGTGCTGGCTTCGGTGGCAACCAAGTCCTTGCCAATGAAGAAAACCGTATGTCTCAGTCACCAACTGAAATGAGTAGCGGCGACCTCGCGGAGATGGCTCCGCTACGGCGGGCAGGGACCTTACCTCCACCAGACGACAACTCGTCAGCTCTACCAAACGGAGAGTTACAGCGTGGTGATGCAGGTGAGAATCACCGGAACTCGCGGTCAAACACGCTTTTCTCCCGTCCATCGTCCCCTGCGACCTCTTCTCCAGCTTCACCCCGGGTCCGGGCTTCCCTTATCCATCAAAATTCCGATGTCATCACAATGCAGCTGGAGCTTTTGGGAAACCGCCGCCCTCAGGACCAAGGACAGGCAACCGCACGACCTCAAAACGAAGCCTCTCAACTCCCAGCTAATGGCGAGGTGGTAGACGGGCAAACGATCTCTGAATTCCTCGATAGTCTTCTGTCCAACCAGGGCAGGAATCTGACCACAGTTCTTAATTCAGATAATATGGATAGTGATGGACTCTCTAATATGACTACGAGCGCATCGCCTATGCCTATGAATGACAACCTTGGTTCGGGCTCTCCGGGTCACATTCAAGATCTGGACTCTCAACGGCCACCTGCTGAAGCTCCTACATCAGATCCGGTGAATGTCCTGCCTGAAAGCATAGAGGAACCGTCACAGGGGGACACACTCCATCAATCCCCCGAGGTCGAGCGAGCCCATGAGAATGACTTTGATTCCGAGATGTTTCCCCGAATTTCCGATCCTAATATTCGCCAGAATATGGTACCTAGTGGGACCGCCACTGCGAATCGGGTTACCATTCTCTCCTCTCACCCTGTCGACTCGTTAGCATCGCATCTAGCGTCTATACTAACAAACGTTCTGTTCATACCTCTCGAATCCCTCTACCTGCGGTCCCTTGCTGCGTCATATCTGCGGTCTACTCACGCTCCTGCCGCTCTTCGAGCTGATGTCCGAGGGTTAGGAGATTGGAGTTTGACCCCACGATCAGACATGTTGTCATATCTTGGCAAGGTTGCCCTCATAACTGGAGTACAAGCTGCCGTTAACGCAACTGTTTGGGGTGTCATATCCGGCGCCGCCATCAAGATCGGAAGAAAATTTTGCGGCTGGGGAACGCTATAAACATCCTCTAATCTTTCTGCCGGCTATGCAAATCTGAGATGGCCTGTTAGTCGGAATAGTACTTTCGACACATTGGCTTTCTGCCGCCGCTGTCGCCTTTTTTCTTCATTGCACATATTACTGGGCATAATGGACACCGTCACTTGATCCTTCTCATTATCATCTTTTCAGCCCTCAGTGACAGAGTAACTTCAACAGCATCATTTAGTATGAGCTATGGCTGCAAGATCAAAAATAATTCGGAAGAAATGGTTAATTCTATCATCGTCGTAGATTCTTAATTATACAGTAGCCCCTCCGTGCCAAGGCCTACAGTCGGGACCGTTCAACAAGCAGTATTTAACAAGACACCACATCCACAAATATCACGGTATCACTTAGCCGGATTCTTCCCCTTACGGTTCGGCACGCCAGGAACCTTTCGACGTTCCCATACCATCAAGTACCCTTCCTTCGTGAACAAAGTTTCGCTTTCTGCTCGCTTGACAAACAGATCCTGAATCTCCAGCCACTCGGGTCCACGCTGCTCGCCAGCATGTTCTTTCTGAAGCCGACCATTCTCCGCAGACATAGCTTTATCATACAACTGAACAAGCCAGGAGACTTTCTCGCTGCCAGCTCCAGCTCCTGACGAAGCTTTTCCGCTAGCAGCATTGACTCCTTTGTCTGCTGCGGCTTCCTCGTGAGCACCTGGAGCGGCGACAGTAGGGTCGAGGATGATGTTTGCGACAAGATCGTAGAGGATCGGTTCCCCTGGAGGCCAGATCTCTGGGTTTGGCTCAACATAGGGCGACATGTCTAATGAGCGAGGGGATGGGAAGGTCACGATTGTGGGGTTACGTTCGGAGACGAAGCGGTTCTTGCTGAAGCGCTTGATGTGGAAGAGGAGGTAGGGAGGAAGGGGGTGGAGGAGCCTGTGGCGGACTCTGTGGGCGAGTTTTTCGGAGGCGGTAATTCCGTTGTACTTGTTCAGGAGGGTAGTCAGAGGGACTTGCGGGATGATAGATTCCCGGTTCGCGGATTGGAAGAGGGGCGTGGGTGGTAGGTCTAAGGTGAGGATGAGGAAGGGTGTCGTTTGGCTGTTGATGGAGCCGGATTCGGTGAAAACTAGACGCGCGTTTTGGGTATCTGAATGGGCTGTGATAGCCTGGCTTTCGATCCTCAAGTGACCCTGGAATGCGGCTTGTACAACGCTTGTAGGTGTCTTGGATGGTTTCTTGGAGCCTCCGAGAGAGAGGTGGAGGTTGTTCAAGAACCACGACATGAACTCCACTGGATCGGACTGCTGTGTGAGGGTAAAGCGCTTGGATGAGCGGAGAGCGATCTCCTGCAACAGTTCGTGCGGAGATACATGGGAGCGAAATGCCTTAGGGTTCCATAGTTTTCGGACTAGGGTACTGAAGCGGAGTGCTAATTGAGGCGTTCCTGGTTGAGGGAATTCATGCAGCAGGAAGTAATTGCGAATGGGGAAGACGTGAGCTAAGAGCTGGACCACCACGTTCAGATAATCGTTGGCTTTGATGTTATTCATGCCAACAAAACCTGCAAATGATTAGCACATTGTCTTAAGCAACATAAACAGTCTGAGTGTCTTACCAGGCCTATAACGGTTTCCTGCCAGGTCGAATGCGTCGTGTACTTCCTTGTCCAGCTTCATCACCTCATCCTTGCTGTAGTACGGGTCCACCACGTATTTGATATCGTCCAAGCTCTGGTTCTTAACCTCATAGCCTTCCGGGAGAACGTAGACTTTTTTAGTACCCATATTGACGAAAACATGGTGTCCGACCTCAAGCGCATGGAAATAGGCATGCGACTTCGGTCCTCTGCCCTGGAAGTATTTGCCGCACACCAGACAAGCGTACACATTAATATTCGACAAGCTGACCGAACATAGCTTTTCAAAATCGAAGTCGAGGATTTCGCGATTGATCGTATCGAGGTACAGGTCGCTGTAGCCCTCCATGGGGGCGCTCTGACGTTTCGGGGCCGCGATAACCGGTTTGTCGTCATCAGCATCAATATCGGACGATTCGGGGCCTCCATCTTGCGCTGCTTCCGCTAGCTCTTCGCCTTCCTGATCGGCAGCTGCAAGAATATCTTGTCCGCTGCGCTCATGTTCTTCAAGTTGCTGTCCAGTCGCCCGGCGAATCGGCAAAGCTCCACGGCGCGGGTCGTCCTCCGGCAGCTCTTCGTCCTCCACACGCGCTTTCTTCGAGGCAGGAGAGCCTGCTGCGAGCTCTTCCTCGAGCGACAGCTCAGCTTGTCTCTTCGACATCATGACTGGATAAAATGGCGAGATTGGTGAGGGAAGCTGCTGGGGTTGCGGGAATCGGACTGCGAAGGACGCGATGCAAACCGCCCAGTGCAAACATGCCAAACACCCGCACAGCGTCATAAGGTGCTTGGTTACATACGGCATCATGGAATCGCAACCGGCGGCATCAAGCTGGGTGCGCTAGTGCTACGATGTTACGGGTAAAATAGGCTTCTCGAGAAATCATTGATATTGTCTCTACTTTAGCTAAATGATAGAAGAGACTTTATCTCGGTCAAACTCATGGAAAATACCCTGCCATGCAACCCGATCTTCTCTTGAAACCCAAGTCCCGTGAAACCGAAAACATAAGACAATCATTGGTATGATACATCACATTAGGCACTCTTGACAATCCTGTCATTATCGAATGGTACTTCTTGCACGCCGTCCTTTGTCACGATCTTCACCAGAACCTAGAAGTTGTCAGCTACCCATACTCGCTCGCACTGCGGGGCCTATGACTCTGGTAACATACACCCTTGTAATCGATCGGTAGTCTGCGCTTCAATTCGTCTGTGCACATTTCCAAGAGCTTCATTCCTTCTTCGAGCGAGATGTCGGGGTGGTGGTGTTTATCGAGAGTGGACAGGCAGTAGTATCTAGAGCACCTTAGCATGAATCCCAACAGCTTGAGACCGCTGTTACTCAGCGCCCACACTTACTGCGCATAGCCGTGAGCAGCATATGGTACGGGAGCCAATGATGCCAGATAATCAATCCAGTATAGATGAGGCTTCTGCGTGATGGGATCGACACCTCCCAGCAGGAGGTTGACAGTGTAGGGATTCCGAGACCGCAGACTCCGCGCCATTTCTCCCCGGACAAAGCTGGCAACTGCACTCGGACCCAGCTCCGTATCGTTCCGCATCGTGTATAGTTGGATGTTGGCTTGGATGTACTCCGCGAATTGTACTAATTGAGCTCCGGGTTAGCTATCTAGTTTATGGCGGTTCCGCGTCTCCGATCACTGGGAAAGCTGCAACGAACCTGTGTCTCCCGCCTCTCCCGAGAAGGCCATAAGGTTGTGTTCATTCAGCTGCTTTGTCTTGTCATCTTCGGCTTTGAGGATGGTGGGGCCTCTCATGGCAGCTTTGGAGGCCGCCAGAATGACGAAGTCCTTTCCAGTGATGCCGAGTAGAACCTCCCTGTGAACGAGGATGAGTGAGCGTCGTGTCCATCGATATATATTGCGGCATACTTACATGTTTGTAGTATCTCAGGGTGTGTTTATTCTCGAGGAAAGATGAAAGAGAGGGGGGTAATGGAAGAGGAGATGGAAAGATGACAGTCGAGAGCCCATCGTTGGCCGCGCGGAGCTTTGACTGCCTGGAGCTGCGGCTCTTGCTGCCTTACTGCCTTAGGCGGGAGCTCCGCGCTGAGTCAGCAATTAGGCGTAAAGTTGATGCGCTTTCCGCCTGCACGGTCCACCGGCAGAAAAAAGTGAGAAACCGAGTATCTCCATCGCATCGGCCAATTTGCCAGAGCCTTCTTCCCCTCCAGACCCTCTTTTACCGCCCGTTTTCCACTCTCGGAGCTTCGGTCAATTACATTGGGTGATGTCGTCTTTTTTCACCCTGCCCGCTTCGCAGCGGAAGCGCAAGAGAGAAGACCGCGCTGGCGCCCCCGCGTCTAAGAAACGAGGTGTCGATGGAGACGGAGATGCAGGCGCAAAGAGTGGCAAGAAGAAGACTAGGGAGCCGTCAGTTTCGGGAAGCGACATTGATGAGGATGAGCTCAGTGGTGCCTCAGGGTTATCGGAGGAGGAAAGTGGCTCAGAATCCGACGAAGGAGAGACAGCCGGAGACCGGAGATTGAAGCTTGCGGAGCGGTACTTGGAAAATGTCCGGGATGAAGTGGAGGACTTTGGCTTTGACGCGGCCGAGATCGATCGTGACTTGATCGCAGAGAGGCTGAAAGAGGATGTTGTAAGTACAAATCCGCCCATCCGGCTCCTGTTCGGCTGGTCAGGCGTTTTACATGCAGAGCTGACGAGAGCTGCAGGATGAATTCAAAGGACGCGTTTATCGTCAGATTGCCTCCGATTTGGCCTTCTCGACGGCCTCCCATACCTTCTTCCGGGCAGATACGCAGTCAACTACGTCAATTGCAGTCCATGCGCCGTATGTTTACACCGTTTCGAAGGACAAGACCTTGATTAAATGGGAACTCGCCACACCCACCTCCACGACTTCTACAACAAATGGAGAGGAGTCCAAACGCCCTCCTCGCCCTCAGCGGAAGAAGCCAAAGCAGGTCAGGTTTGTGCGGGGCTTGCGAAAGGTTGCGGAGACGGGAGAAGAGCATGGACATACCAAGAACATCTTGTCCGTCGCAGTGTCGCCGTCCGGAAAATTTGTAGCCACGGGAGGAGAAGACCGGAAACTCATCGTCTGGGACGCGGAGACTCTTACCCCCCTGAAGACCTTCACACAACATCGCGACGCTGTCAGTGGTCTTGCCTTCGCTCGTCATATCTCTACCATGAGTTCTGGAGAGCAGCTCTTCTCTGGCTCTTATGACCGGACCATCAAGACCTGGTCTCTGAGTACAGCCGGCCATGCCTATGTTGAAACACTCTTCGGACATCAAGATCATGTTACGTCCGTCGCCGCCATGGCCATCGATCAGTGTGTCAGTGTGGGAGCGCGCGATCGCACGGCCAGGTTGTGGAAGGTTATCGAGGAATCCCAACTGATCTTCCGTGGTGGTTCTAAGAGCGCCTCCTATCAAGAGAACAACATTGACTGCGTATCGCCGTTACCTCCTAACCACTTCGTTACTGGATCGGACTCAGGTTCCATCTCTCTCTGGTCCATTCACAAGAAGAAGCCGCTTCACACGATCCCTCACGCACACGGCCTCGACCCCTTACCTCCACTGGACGAACTCTCCTCTGAAGTCAATCAAGAAACCGCAGCACACAATTCCCGTCACCTCCGGCGCATGCCCCGCTGGATCACCGCTTTGACTACGCTTCCGGGCACAGACGTCGTACTTAGCGGCAGCTGGGATGGCTTCATCCGGGCATGGAAGATCTCGGAAGACAAAAAGACCATTGTTCCTCTGGGCCCTATCGGAGCAGGATCCAGCATTCCGCTAACCCCCGACACCCCATCCGAGCAATTAAAGCAGACCCTTGCCTTCGACACACCGACGAGCCCGGATCACATGGCAGTTGATGGTGCGCCGGCCCAGCAGACCGAGGAGGAAGCAGAACCGCTGATCAAGGGTGTGATCAACGATATTGCTGTTTTCGAGCGTCGCGCAGAAACCGCCAAACCAGGCCAAGCGCCAGCGGAACCCAAGTCCAAGTCCAAGTCCAACACCAAGCCGTCTGCGCCCGAGCAACATGGGCTCTGCATCGTAGCCGCTGTTGGCAAGGAACATCGGCTAGCAAGGTTCAAATGCTTCTCCAACAACTTCCATGACGGCCCCACCGCGGACGGTCGGAACGGTGCCGTCGTGTTCGAAGTACCATTCATCTCCCAAAAATCGAAATGATCGATCCTGGCATCGATCGATTAGTATCCGAATCGAGGCGCTGACTGACTAATTGATCTTGGTGGCGGCGCTGGACGGCTGTATGCAATGTAGTGGAAACATCATGGCGTCTGTGCATCCTATATTTCTTTTCTATCTACTCTATGCATGTATCTTTATTCCCGGGCCGGTGGTCTCTGCATATTGCTTTCAAAAGTTCGCATTAGAAGAGGTACTTTTCTGTTCTACTATCTCTCTAATCCCCGTGATTTAGCCGGTTTTTTGTACGATGTATATACTTTGAACATGAGAATTTTCTTCAATGACTCCTCTCCTACCACTAGTAATAGTATTTCTCATAAGACATCTACCATCAAACCCACCAACAGAAACCAAATTCACACCCTCACCAATCCTCAACAAAGCCGGCATGTTGAAGTTCTACCTACCGACGAGAATCGTCAGCTGAAACCACAACATAAGCGCCGAGCGTGACAACGACCCTGCAACCTGCAGGCCACTAAGTCTAGCGGGTTCATTAATTCCCCGGCGCTAAAGCCGGCGACTAGACTGAAGGCGGATAGGGATATCTGCCTAGACTAGATAGTGGACTCGGCGAGTTGGGCGGGGCATGATGCATAGTTACTAAGTTTAGTTCAATACTATTACTATTTACGGCTATGGCGTATGATCAGAGCAGTACTCGCTCCATATGTTGATCTGTTGAGCGGGAAAGACTAGGAGTTATTCATGTAGCACCAAATTCCGCGACGCGCGCACGCGAATGTGCGCAGTTAGGATTGGAATTCACAGAGGGGAAGATGTAGTGCTGCCCACGCCGGGCGTACCGGGGAAGGATGCGGCGTTACTAGTACGATTGTGGTTGTTGTGGAGAGGTGGGATAGTGGTGGTGGGTTAAGCGATTGATGCTTTCGATGTTGGGGGTGTGGAAAATGATCTTTAATTCTGTTGTACTGATATACTACTACTGCTTGGATCATGGTTCACTTGATTAGTGTGAGATTTTTGTTATGTATTGTCTCAATCAATGAGATCGGTATTTCCTGCAATCTAGAATGATGGTATGGCGGGAAAATAAGAAGACTATAAGATGCTTGATGATACATGTGCTCTTAAACGGATATGTCATAAAAGGAATGGCGCTTGATAACAACCTTTACCCAAGGTACTGAACAAGTAGCATGAGACAACGGATCGCAAACAGGGGTATTTTCAAATGGCCTGAGGGAGGGTTAAGCCTTCTTTACGGGGATGATGCAAATGTCCTGGAACATGTAGAATAGAACGCGACCTCGTATCTTCTTCGGGGTGGTCGCAAATCAGATTGCCAGCTCGGCTGTTGGGGTGTATGTAGTAGGCCAGATATAGAAGGGTAATATTTCTTTTGAGGTCCCAAGGATGGGTGATCGAGCACCGCAAGATCAAGAGAAGTCGCACATAATGGATCATTAGGAAGTAATATCAATCGTCATTAGAATCGTAGATGAGTTGTCGGGGTGATTTAATAGGCCGAGGGTCGGCGATTGCCCCTGTCTCTTGTCCGCCTAGTTGGTCGCACGGGGCCTTCGTCAGAATCGTCATCCACGCTGATTGCATTCATGACAGTAGATCCAGCGGACACTTGCTGTTGTAACCGTGGATCATGACGGATATCTCCCTGGGATCTGGATTCACTGCGTCCCGACGCTGTACCGGAAGTCCCATTCTCGCAAGATGGCGAACTCGACTGTATTCGGTAGGTTTGGATGCGATTGCGCCGAATGCCACCAACAGGAGGCAGAATCGGATCCTCGTCATCATCGTCATCGTCATCGTCGTCGTCATCATGACTTTCATCGTCCAGGCTCTCCTCGTCGCTTTCCTCAGACATCTCATCAAAGGTTGACAAGTCAGTTCCAATAGTGTGGGTGACCGAAATTTCATGCCGCCCAACCACTGTGGATCGGTCAGATTCTGAATAATCATCGTGTTCCAAGTCATCGTCGATGAACGAATCCATGTCTGCATCCTCGTCCTCATCGTCCATGTCGCTATCTTCCTCGAGAGCTGACGAAACTCCAGAAGGCCAGCCATAATGGTTCTGCCGGCGAAAAGGCCCAGTTGTGCGCACACCCGGAAGGTCGCCAGGCGCTAGGCCATACCACTGACGATAAAGTTGGTCTATGTCGGCAGGTTGAATATCAAGGGGCAGCTGGTCATGGCTGGGATCCCAGCCATATTCATCCGCGTCCCCAAACCCATCTTCAATCTCATCATCGTCTTCCAAATAGTCCGTCATCTCGGAGTTTTCGTCTGACTCACTCCAGCCTGAACTTCCAGTCACAGACTCATCATCTTGTCGATACCCGCATTGTGCACATCCTTCATCTTCCTCTAGCTCCCAGGAACAACGTGGACAACGCACAACATTGTCCTCGAGGTCCACGATAGGTTGCGCGACTGGAAGCTTCTTGTTGAACGTACCACGGAACAGGCCCCCTTCCCGCGGGTGTGTGTTGGCCTTGTCTTTTTCCAGTCGCTCCGCTTCTTCGCGTTGATGGCTTAGGTGTTCGTCTGTGGTCTCGCCCTTATCAAGCAGCTCCGGGCGACTTGTGAACATTTGAACAACAGCGCGGACCTTGAGTATTTCAGTTAGTGCCTGTTGAGCATCGGATCAGAAACAAGTATGATATGCAGAGGCCTACCAAGTAAGCGGGAGCTGGTTGCGCTTTCACCGGTGCTCGACAGTCCGGGCATGTCTTGTTGTGCCTCCCACCAACAAACCATGATGTTAGACACTAGAGCGAAAGGTTAGACGCCAAAACTTATGAGTGTCGTCGAGATTGGCGATACTGACACTGTAGCAAAAGGTATGTCCGCAGGCAAGGGTATAGGGTTCATAAAGTGGTCGGATGCAAACGCCGCATTGTAGGAGAGAACGGATATCGTCGACATGACCTTGCAGGGTTTGAAAGAGCTAGAAAATAACGATATATATCAGCGCATGAAAGGCTTGACCCTACAAAGGGAAGCTCACCCCTGACGCGTTATCTCCAGTATTGACATTTGATGTGCTGGTGCTCTCGGAGCCATTGCTCAAGGCAGCTCCAGCGGGGGTAGGTTCGGACATGGTATGAGGGGGCACGGATCAGACGCTGGTGGTAACGGGTTTATATAGTTGATGATCTTGTCCTTGTATCCGACGCGACAAGTTCCGTCTCAGATACGGAAGGTAGACGGTGTGCGGTCGGAGAGGAAGGGGTGGGATACAAGTAGTATGGATGGGAACTCTCAGGTACGCGCGAGGATTGCGGACATTGACAGAAAGAACTCCCCACCAAGCGCTGGAGTTTGACGCGACGGGAGAAGGGCGCTAGAGATGTCGAGACGGTGTGCTCTTGGCCTGAAGGTACCAGACGGTATGACCGGCACGAAGCAAAGAGAAAAGATTCGAAGAAAGAAAGAGAATTGATCATATGGCGATTGGTCTGGCCGGCGTGAGCATGATTTTCTGGTCGGGGAATCTGCGCGCAAACCGAGCAAACAATGGGGCGGCGGATGATTGAGTGGAACCGTGGAAGAAGCCGAAACTCTACCTGTCGTCGGGTCGATCCCATCTATCTCTACTCCGTATCCTCCAACACATACACATCTTTCCAACTTCCAACAATTACGCCGGTCAAAAGAAACGGAGGAGAGACGGGATTGAATCCAGTTTGATGGGTTAGCGGACAAGGTCATGGGCTGTGATTTGTCCCTCTTCAGTGCTAGACGACGACCCTAACGGAAAACTAAGGCCGAAGGAGTAACCCGGCGCCGTCTCACCGTCGATACGCCAAATATATCTCAGCAGCGCTTTAGCTCTGTCATAAGTGGACCACGTCGGGGTTATTACTACAGTTGGATCGGAATAAATTATCCAGATTTTATCTTTGTATGAACAGTGAGATGGGGCTTGCTCATATCCCAACAGTTCCGATACTTGCGGCAGGTTGGCCACCACCACCCTTTTCCATATTAGTGCATTCGTTTCGCATGTCCCAGCGCTTCGGTGAACCTTATGTGAGTATGCAGGGGGCAACATATTCTAGTACAATGTGATGCCTTCTTCTTTTTGTGGCAATAATCAGGCTGGCGTGTCTCCACCATATGACCGAAGGAACATGGCTGAAATCCGGACACCAATCGTCTGCCACACTTATACTTGATCTCCTCTACTCAGCTCCTATAACATGGCCATCCTCATAGAGCACACTTCACCGTTGTACAGATTGGATCATAGCAATATAAATAGTTCTCATGGAGCAATGAATGAAGTATCATCTTTCAGACCCCCGGTGCGAACGGCTTCACAATGTCGATTCTCTTCAATTGGCAACTGACTGCAGGTCATCTGTACGTGGTGCATTTAGTAGTACTTCAGCCAAGCAGCACATGGCTTCAGCTTGTGACTCTCTTCTAACCGCTCCTGTTGCACTAAAGCGCTTGATAAACGCCTTAAGACCACCAGCTTTCAGGTTATACCCCCCTAGGGGGTTACCCCCAACAAGAAGAATGTCTCCTGACTATCTACTGATGAGCTTATGCAGGTTTAAATACACTATGTATGAAGCGGGATAATATGGAGAGATTTGACTTAGAATCCTATCTGATTTTAGAAAATATTATTTCTTCCTGTGACAAGAAATCGAGAGCGTTGACTTTCGAAGCCGAATTGAAGCGAAAGTGATAAACTTCAGATGATGAGGCTTAGCAGACGTAGAATCTGAAGGCTGCACTACTCGACATCTGCGAGCGCCCGCTTCCGGGAACGCTCTAGCTTCAGATCCTCTGACACAAGGTGACTATCATCAATCACTCCCTTGATCACTTTTTCGTCGTCCACGATCTCTTTATTCATGTGTTCCAAAAAATCGATCTGCTCACGAATGAAGAGTTTCGCAGCACGCGTATCAAAAGTGCGCCGGGCTCGCTTTTGGTCTCGCATAAGTTTATTGACGTCACGGAGACGATCGCCAAGGATTTCGAATCGATATTCAGTGAACTGATGATACAATTCATTGAGGTCCGATATTGGGCGGACGGTGGTAAGCACGGTGTCGTCCTTGATGGACGAAGCCCGAGGCCGGAAGGAAGTCACCATGGTAATTCGCTCGGTCGCCCCCAAAGCACGGAGAGCTTTGTGCTCGATATACCGGCCTTGTAGGATGACTGCCGAACCCTAGGACAACTCATAAGCTTGAGCTATTAAGATCCAATTGTCATGTACTTACCTTCTGCGGTCCCCTGACTTTGACAATATCGCCGTTGCCCGTTCTAAGGGCCGTTTCTCCACCGATCATATTGGTACAGTCGGATAGCATTGTCACACAAACGAAGGGGTAGCTGTCAGTGTGCCAGTCGACTATGGCATCATCGTTGCTGGGCTTCACGGCAATACCCTTACCCAATACCCCGGCTTCCTTCACGGCTTCATGCTTCTCCTCTTCATTGTGACCAGAAATGTTTACGTGGCCCAGTTCGAAGTCCATAACCGGGACGAGATCGACACCGGCGACTTTGGAGATTATAGCAAGTGTTTCAGGATTTTTCCAAGCGTCATAAACAAATGGAGCGCACCTGTTCCTATGTGTCAGTCATGGCTTCAGATGGGATGAAAGCTTCGATATTTACTCAGCTGCATAGCCCCTTAGCTGACATTCGGCAATCTCACTCGAGTACTTATGCTTGGCATAAACCTCACTGGTGAGAACTTCCTTACGCATGTGCTCCACAGCTTCGACCGAAAATAGTGAGAATGGCTCGGAGACGCCAACAGGGGAAACTCCACGATTGTTAGGGTAGCCGAGCTCGTTCATCGTGTGGACCTTCGAAGGAGGCACAAAAGCGAGATGCTTGGACGGATCGAATACCACATGCTCTGGCTCTGGAGCGGCCTTTTCGACCTGGCAAGCCTCATTTTCCTGGAAGGCCTCTCCGGTGATGTCGACTACCTCATTAATGGCTGAGACCGGGCTGGCCATGCTAGTTCCCACAAAGGCCATTTTTCAGAGAGGAGTTTTATAGAGACAACTGGCAAAGAGGACGGTGGTGTTTTACTTGAAAGAAGACGATGGTCTGTTACTTGAAGGACTGAGAGAAGCTGATGGTGAGGATAACTGTTAAAGGGTGACCAGGTATTTATACCTAAACTTAACAAATCTGCCCATGGCAAGATCCGGATGCAAATAACTTCACTGCACGCTGTAGCTCGACAAATCAGTGAGCTTTCTCCAATATGTGAATTCCCTCTCAAGCTTAACAGCTGCCCAGCAAGTCCTAGCTTAAGAAAATACGCACGGTATGTTCCTTGGTCGATGAAAGCCTGTTAATGGATACATGGGCATATTGGAGCGTGCTAGTGGCTCAAGCATCGAGGGACTACTTCTTCTTGGGGAATTTCTGTTATCAAGTCCTCATATTCGGTGAGATCCTATGCGGCTGGTCATGAAAATTAACTGGGCCCCGCTTTTCATTCTATCCTATGGCAGCAGCACGAACATCTTAGGCCTATAGCGATAGCCGATGGAGATAGCCCGTGGATACTGATCCTGTGTCTGGTTTGGCACAGTGAATCCCTAGCCAACCAAGAGACCATTTTCATGATGGCCGGCCAATGCTTGGTAGGCCCTGGATTTGTCGGTGTTTTCAGTCGCCGGGTAGATCCAGACCAAAGAGAATCCAATGGCAAGGCGTGGGCAGATAGCGCTTCAGCATCATGCTGATTGTGTCAACCGGTTTGGGAAAGCCAGACCAGGCATCTAGATTTCCAGCTGGATTTGTGCGGCTAGCGCTGAAATATCTTACTACATCAAATTGAACCTGACGGCGGCGTGCTTCACTGTTCCTGTTTGGGATATCGGCTGCTAAAGATTCGATTAGGGCATTCCAGGACCAGACGGGCACCGATCGATGTCCCGCTTTGTCGGGGTTGAGGGTTGAACGTATTTTATGAGAGTTGCCAAATTTTTACGCACTGAAGCCACTAGTAGTGGGGAATTATTGACTTGATTTGGTAAATGATCGGGATGGGTTCAGTTCTTCAGCTGGGCAGATTATTAGCAAGCTGGTGCGGCTATCAGATAACGGAGATCCCTCCCTACGGCCCTCCCTCTTCTACAGCCTGTGCCAGCCGTTGCGAACTCAAGAGTTCTGCGGTCCTTGCGCTTCCCGCGCATATATAGATGTCATTTGATGTCTGCGTCCGGCTAAGGCGCGTTACGGACGGACTGGCAGCGGTCCTCGTAATCCGAAACAGGCCATATCCCGAGATCTCTTTGCTTGATCCGGATAAAGCAACAGCGTTGTGTATGTGAGTGAGCAGTAAAGGTTGGGATACTTTCCGACAACTCGCCCACTGGCTAATTGGCACCCCCACAGGGGATGTGCAAACACAAATGAGCGGCGAAGTCATGATATAATTTACCCTATGTCATATATTGACGGTGTAGTGGGCGTGAGGAATACTATCAGTGCTTGCAATCATGCAGGCCGGCTCGATTCAGGATGCTTGCAAGCTAGCCGGCTTCGTTGAACAACTTTACTGTCATATAGCCAAATAGGATTATCTCAGAGCATGGATGGGCCACCCAACAGGAAAGGCAGATTCGACTTGCAAATCGTCGCCCATCCTACCAATACCTTTCTTTGGATATGAAATTCTCCCTCGAACCAGCACGCTCTATGGGAGCCGGGGTTAGACCATGTGACGACCGGGAACAACGTCAGAAACTTTCGCAACCAAAATGTACGCAATCAGAGAACGCCATTAAATCTCTGGTGATCAATTTGGCACTATTCTGCAAAATAGTACGTTCGGCGGGAAAAGAAAAGCAAGCCACCCCGGAACGCAATGGCAATGAGGGGTACCCACTGCCTTGGAGTCAGTCATTATTGAGATTGAGCCCCTGCGAACCCGTATATACTCTGGGCTTAAATCTCCGTATCTTTGGTAAAATGCGCGGATGGCTCCACACTTGCAGGGCGAAATCATCCAAGAACCTAGTAGATAAGTGATCCCCGGCCTGAGCTCCGAGCACGCAGCACAGACAGTCCATCTTTCTAGAAGGACGCAGTAATCATAGAACGGAATTGCCCGCAGGCGACCAACTACAAACCAAGATTGAAGCTTGAGATCAAGACTCCCCTAAGTTTTAGAACGGATCCGCAGTCTACATTCTCTCAACCACGCGACGTTCAACCGCGTCAGTGAGTTCTTTACTTTTTAAGGTTCTCGTTCCCGGGGATGGATCTCCACGCCAAGACTGGCGGGTCTGGATTTTCCTCCGGCCGCTTCGATTGGTACAACTACTGCCATCCTCATCAACATCAACATCAACATCTACCCGCAATATCCCGGAGTTCTCTATTCTCGGACCTAGAGTCTTCTACTCTCGCAGTCACCCTATCACGCTCCGAATTCAGGTGTTCGCTTGCTCGGCTCATTACAAACTATGGCCTCCCAATCTGATAAACAACCATCCTCATCCGATCAAACCAACCCCAATGCCTGGGAGCGGGTGGAGCGGAAATTCACCAGGTATGTTTAAACTTTTACCTCCGTTTCTGATTCTCACCTCAATTTTCCCTGTTGTTTTGGTGAGCGAGCGTAATCATGTGCTCGAATCTCCAGCTTCTTGCTTTGGGTTCTCTCGTGTTGTTTCAATGATACCATTGGTTTCCGCCCGGAGGGGGAGAGAAGACAAGGTGGATCTGCTAGCACATGCTAGCTAGTTGTAGATAATAGGTCATGACTGACAATCATCTGTCGTCTCTAGCAAAACGGCAAGCGAATACTTTGACCCATGTCAAGATTTCGCAGATCGAAGCCTAAAGTGCATGAAGCGCAATGGTTTTGATAAGGAGATGTGCTCGGATTATTTCCAGTAAGTTCACCAATTTATGAAATACATCACCTCGTCTTTTCTCAGTCGCTACGACTGGTTGGCTTGGTGCCATTTGTCTCTGATGAGTTACATATGCTGCCGTCTTATACCTGTCAAGTGGCTGAAGTAGCCATTTTTGGTGTTACATTACTTTGCTCGAATTATCCATCCCTTAGACTGACCAGGGACTATTCAGGGCTTATCGAGATTGTAAGAAGGAATGGGTGAGTACAGACCTTTGGGCTTGCTTTCCTGCGGCCTTACCACTCCCTTGCTGAAATCAACGCTCGGGAAACTGATTGCGCGCCCATGGAGGAAATTCATGACATTGCTTTCAGCTATAGATGAACTAACGCCTTTCTTCAGTTGACACAAAAGAAGCTTGGCTCGTCTGCAGCCAAACGCTGATTTGAGGGCTTCTTGGGGCTCTCTATACTGCACTGATTGCATTTGGAACTGCCACCATCATAATCGCCCTGTTATCACGCCTGTGTTTATCAGCCTTTCAGTATCGTCTGTGCCAGAACCATGCTCTTACTTATCTCTTGCTCCCATTGGCGAGCTATATTTTTCGTTCAGATCTAAGGCATTAGCATGGATGCTACTTGTCAGCGGTCCGGGTTATGCACCAGCAAGCCGCCTATGTGTTCAGTGACTTGATAAAAACTGTATTTCCACCACTAGCTGCTGCTATCGGGAAAGCGATTACTGTTTCTGTCATGGAATACGTGCTATCCTTCACTATATTCCAGCTCGTCTGTACAGTGAAGGAGGCCTCATTTTGGCATGGTCTTGCCTGGCGTTCTCAATTCGTGACTTCAGTCATTTGTCTAGTCTCTGTTCTCTGTATATTATATGTGTCACTATTATAATGATCCGGTTTCCAAATCTTTTCAGCTCACAGTAACAAGGTTTGCTAGCTTTATGACGTCCATTACAGAATGATCATTGTAGTCGTGGTAAGTTCAATGAACCACTACTAGTAATAGTACTAGGCACTGGGCAGGGTGGGCAAGAAGTTGCGAGTATAATGACTTGAGTATGAACTGTTCTACAGGGTGGATACAAGCTGGTTTAAATATACTAATGTTACTACTACCCGATTCTTTACGGCGCCCATCATGATGCTAGCATTTTGTGTCTTCCTTCTCTAGCCGAACTAATGAAGGTGCCAAAACTATACCAGATACCTCAGAGATCTTAGATAATGACAAATAATGCTACCAGTCATTTCATACTTTCCACTCTACTCAGAGTACTCATGCGCACTGATGGCTGCTGCAAGCAACCAAGTTCCCGGGCCGTCACCGCCTTCCCGCAAAGCTTCCCCGCCCACCAAACTCAGCAGAAAGCCGATAAAGAAAGTATGAGGAGACAGACACCTTAATTTCTCCCCTCATCATCGCCGTATATATTACCCCGCACACCGTGTGCTGTGCTTGATCGCGCAGCATACGTCCTGCCCCCTTGTTCTGGTTATAATTAACTAGATCCCTGGGATCCGTACCCCCGACTCTCCGAGTCTGCCCCTCTCGTCATGTCCACCAGTGACGCCGTGTTTCATCGGCGGAACAAGCAGGTTCAAGATGCCATTGATGGGCAGAACCTTAAGCAGGCTCTTCAACTGATTGATAAGCGCATCAAGAAGGGCGAAGACACTAGGTTCCTCAAAGTGGGTAATAATGCTATACTCTAATCATGCATCAAACACAATATTATCAATTGCTTACCGTGGTTTTTGTCAACATAAACCTGCTAACTAGTGAATAAAGGCGTGGAAGGCAAACATCCTGTACCGTCACGCCGACGATGCAAACCGTAATCGCGGTATCTCGGAGACCCTCGAATTATGCAAAGCTGAACCGCCCACAACGGACCTCGACACCCTCGATATCCTCCACGAGACGCTGGAGCGCATGCCTAACCATGCGGACACCCTGAGAAGTATCTGGGAGAAGGCCTCGAAGGCCAATTCGAAAGATTTGGATATTCAAATGAGATGGTTCGAATATGCGTTCGAAGGTGACGATTGGAAGTCCGCACAGAAGGTCGGTACATTGGATTGGCATTGTTCATGGTTCCTGAGGCTGATATTTGCTTCTGGTTGGGGGAACCTTAGGCTGCTATGGCTCTTCAGAGTAACTTCCCCAAGACAAGGAAGTACCACCTGTGGGCCATCTTCCTTAGCTACCTCGTCTCCATCGACCAAGCTAGCTCCGAGGCTGATCGCAAACTCTTTGGAATGCTGGCCTACCGTATGATATCCAAGGCTGCCGAAAGTGTTCCTTCCGATTCGGTATGTTCTTTTCCATTCACCACAACTCTCGTTGGACGTTCTGTCCGATGTGAGTCTGCTTTGACGGCTTCAACTGTGTGACAAAATGGTAATGTTTGAAAACAGAAAGAATTGCTGAGCCCTCCCAGAGCTATCCAATCGGCCGAGGAGTTGCTGTTGCTCATTAAAATATTCGAATCCCAAGAACGTCATGCCGAGATTGTGAAGATCCTTGATAGCGAGAATCTTGGTATTAGCTCGCGCGTGATCCAGAACGATTGGTCATTCATCGGAGAGAAGCTTTCGAGCCTGGAAAAGGCTCAGATGTGGACAGATGGCCTGGCCTACACAAAGGCGCTGCTTGCGATCCCGACGAACGAAGCTGAACAAAAAGCTCTCCAGGAGCGTGACGACTGGGCTGTATGGCACCTTCTTATTGCTGCAACCAAAAACATCAACACTTCAGAGTAGGTGCTTAGCTCCGTTGTGTCACATATACAGCAGCTAACATTATGTCCAAGGACCACGGACGCGACACAGAAGTTCGTTGACGAGTTTGTTGCGGCTGTACCGAAGTCCCGCAATGCGCAATTGGCTCGACTTGACCTGATGCACTGGACCTTCCAGGCGGGTAACCTGAAGGCCGATGACCTAGTAACTGCTTGTCAGGAGTACTTCGATCGCAACAAGCACAAGCTTTATTGCTTTGGTGATTTGCGAAGCTACGTGCCAGCACTGGACAAGACCTCCGTGTTAAAATTCGTAGAATACATATCTGCAAGCGCAGCCGGACAAACTGACGTAAGTCACGAAGCTATAATTGGTCCAACTCCCACTAATCCTTTTGTACAGGAGAAGAACCCGTCCAAGGAGGTTGCGAAGATCAATGCGCTCAAGTGCGAATACTGCTTTCTACTGTCGGCAAACGAAAGTAATGCATCTAAGACGAAGGTCGAGGAGTTCGTTTCTCGTTGCCTGCAGGTCTATCGCGAAGTCGAGCGCCCTGAAAAGAGCTCAGCACCATCTACGATTGAGAGTCAGCCCAGTGATGACTTGTGTCTGCTTGCGGCCATGAGCTTGATTCGCTTTAGTGGCGCATGGATTTCCGACAGCAGCGAACAAGTCCCGGATACTGTTCTGATTCGCGCAGCAGCAATCTTGGAACGTCTTTTGGTTGACTCGCCTCATAATTACCAAGCATTGTTGCTTCTCGTGAGGATCTATCTCCGTCTCGGCGCAGGATCTCTTGCCCTTAAAACGTTCAGTAAACTCTCGGTCAAGCAAATACAATTCGAGACGGTGGCTCATAATCTTTTCACCCGTCTCGCGACCATTCACCCACACTCTGCACCACCAATCGAGGGAGCAGAGTACAAAGACTTCAACCCCCAGTCTGCTTTTGTCCAAGCACTCAACTTCTACAAATCAGCCGATGTCACGACTGTTAGGAACCGCTCCAAGGGACTGGATTATGGAAGCTACTTCAACGTACAGGGCACCATTGATCTGCAGAAACGCCTCAAGCAGAGTATCTGCCGCAGGATGTGGGCTCTGGATGTGAGACGCATACAGCGACTGGCTGGCGGAGACCCTATGGGTCGTTACCAAGACATGGGTAGGTCAGGTTATCTTTAGTCCGAGGTGTGTTGCTCACACTACCAATAGCAAGAGATACATCACCTCTGATCGACCAGCGTATTTTTGATGCATTCATGAATTGTGAAGCACCTGGCCAACCCACATTTGAGGAGCGAATGCGCCTGGGACCCCTGCCTCGTGTAAGCTAATACTCGTCCTGCGACCCGTGGATATGGCTGACCAGTCTAGGATCAATGGATCAAATCTTCAAGGATGACTGACCATCTCTTTGACCTTCTCAAATCCATGACGGCTCAGAAACCCGTCTCTGTGGAACCTGAGTTGCCTAGGGTTGAGGATGTTGTGGGACCCGAAGCGGAATCTGAAATGACCCCGTCAGAGATCGAAAGTGCCAGGGTGAACCTAAACATTCTAACCCTGGCTTTGTTCCTGAACGGGTCGAAGTCAGTCACCTCGGAACAGGTGGATAACTGTCTCACCCAGGTCGAGGAGTGGCTGGAGTCCAAGCTCAACGACGTCACTGTGAACGACGCCAATGTCTCGCCAGTAATATCCAATACGGCAATCTACGTGAAATCAGAGGCCCCAACTGCTCCATCCTGGAGGTACTTCCATAGCCTTTTCACCGTACTCGACTCGCTTAAGGCCCTGTCCCTTCTCTACACTGTTGGGTTGAGAAAGGGGACCAAGGGCAAGCTACCGAAAGAACGTGTCGAAAAGTTGGCTGACAGGACACGCCAAGTCCATCAGGGTGTGCGAGCCAATGTTCGAGCCCTCAAATCTTTCATCTCGGCTCCCGGTGTTCTCGGCTCGCTTACTGATTTGGTTGTGGCCGGTTCTGGAAGCGAAGATGGCTCCCAGCTTCGTACCGAGTTGGACAAGACTCTGGATACGGCTGCTTTGGAGGTGTTCTGTGGTGAGCTGATGGAGAGCTGGGAAGAAGGTCTTGGTGGGGTGTTCGCCGTGTCTATGTAGAACTCAGCGAAGGCAGCATGCATTGAAGCAATCATGTGAATTAGACAATCCATCCTTAGCCAAGTTTGCTCATAACAATACAATCTATCCACTAATACTTTTCTCGACGTGTGACATCCGTACCCAGATTGGCAGTTGCTACCATCCGGAGCAGTCTGATATTTCGGTTTCAGGATGCTTCCCACTTCTGTTGTACAGTTAGACCCAAGAAGCACCATTGACAGAAATCGGCATGTAAGACAGACGTGACCTTGGAGTTAGAAAAGCGTTCACGAGACCTGTATGTGGGAATGTTGATCTCTCTGCTACGAAGATTCGGTATTTCATTTTGATTCGACATGCATGACTGTCCTACGTAACCCATGCCCTTGGGTCAGAAACATCGTAGATGAGACTAGCGATTCGAACCTGCCAGTGCTCGTGACGATGAAGCACCAGGGTAAGCTTGACGAGCAAAGAGAGGGTCACACTAGCATTGCAGCGTAATTTCCCCGAACCATTGTCGTGGGCACTTCCACGGCCCTCCCAGACTTGTACCACACACGAGTTCCCCGGCAGGTTGTGGCGCCTTCTTTCCAGGGGAAAAGGTTTCCATCTTCGTTTGGGGCCAGCGTTTGATCTTCATGGCCAGCAAGGACAGGGTCTTGCAAGAACTAGTTACACCCTAGAATGTGTCACTTTTGCCGCCTTGGGGCCACGAATTGAACCAGGGTTATAAACTCCGGTTGTCGGCCTGATAGGTCTAGTTGTTGGGATTGTTGCTGATGTAGCTCTTTCGCTTTGTCTGATGAACAATGCCATGGCCGAGTTCTATTTGCATGGAAGCTCTCCTTCACCCTCTTATGACTACCGGTACTCGCATCAGCCTTGGAATGTAGTAACTCAGACGGTGTGTCTTGTCGTGAGTACTGGCTTTGTTGCCATGCGGTTGTATTCGAAAATTTATATTACGAAGGCGCCTGGTTGGGAAGATTGTACGTGAGATATTTGTGTTGGACTCGTTAGTGAAGCGCTGAGCTGACCTGAGCTGTTTTCTAGGGACCTGCTGTCTGGCTTGGGTATGAATTCGACTCCTGCTTGCCGTCCCATACACTCATACGGACATTCCTACTAGTTTGGACTGTTAGGTTTTGTTGGAATCTCCTTCGAGGCGGACAGACATGGAAATGGTGTCCATCAATGGGAGGTCGACCCCCATGATCTGCATGACTTCGCCAAAGTACAAGATGACCCCGTTCACTCTAATTAGGCACATCGACGACAGCTGCTGACGGAGCGATCTAGCTGATAAATGCATCGCAGGTTCTCTATGGACCCTTGATATTTCTAACCAAGCTTTCTATTTTCCTTCTCTACTTGCGCGTATTCGCACCATCTCCCAAGTGTAACCAATGGTGGTTCATACAGATTCTGATGGGGCTGAACTTTTTCTTCTACTTGGCGGATACTATCGTGAAGATTTTCGAATGTACGCCAAGAGCAAGAATCTGGGACAAAACCGTTCCCGGTCGTTGCATTGATGCTGACATACCTGTCCTTGTGACGTCTATTGTGAACGTTGTCTCGGATATCATGATGCTGCTGATGCCGATCAGGTGTGTCTGGCGGTTGCAGATCGCTTTACGGACGAAAGTAGGCATTACAACTATATTTGCAGCTGGCATTTTGTGAGTCTGCCAGCCTGAATTGATCCATGATGTTCTTGGGAGACAAGTAAATAGCGCTAATTGCAACGGACAATATAGTGGTTGTATCGCCAGTGTGATGCGTCTGCGTTGGAGCGTCAGAAACCGCAACTCCACGGATAATACCTACGATGCGTTTCCTGAGCTTTTATGGACGTAGGCGATGAACCCCGCTTCCCTATCCACATGGTCCCTCTATAGAAACTGACTTATACAACTAACCATATCCTACCAGAACGGCGGAAATAACCTCGGGAATCATCGCCAGTAGCTTACCAGCCCTGCCAAGCTTCTACAGATATACCTCCCAGAAAGCCAAGACACTCGTCAGGAGCATAAGTACACCAAGTCTCACTACGTTTAGAAGGAAGTTACCGAGCACAGGTAACGGATCTGGGACCCGACAGTCTGTTTCGCACCTTTCCTGGCACCCAGTTTTCGAACCAAGCAGATCCGAACTGGTGCGGTCCGGGTCGGACTGGGAGATGGGGGAGATCGGGCAATTTCACGGAACATTCTTCATGACTACAGCAGGCACGGCGGAGGGAGATGGAGAGAGGGGGTTCCACTCTAATATCGATGGACTCCAAGTGGAGGACGGCTGTAAACCACCACCACCACCGAGGGATGGGATTCTGAAGACTGTGCAGGTGGAAGTGGATATTGAGTCGGGGCGGGATGTGAAAGAATACGCATAACAGTTGGGTTGTGTTATATAGAGTGAGTTATGTATGAGAACGAGAGATGGTGAAATTGAGCATAAAAGCTATCGATAGAGATCTCGATAACTAGTAAATAGATGGAAACTCCGCATTTGATCTGAAATCCACATATAATCCATAAAGCGAGCTAAACCTAAAGTAGTAGTGGCTAGTAGACACCTCAGGCCGCAACACATGACAAAGACGGGCAGTCCAACCCTAAGCCCTAGTGCTCGCTACGCACTGCCGCAACGGCCAACCAAAACCCAGCAAAGTCTATCGCGATTCCATCCGCACCGACGCCCCTCGACTCGACAACTCCCAGCAGCAACCTCCGTCGTCGCCAACCCGCAGTCGTCCCAACCGTCGTGATGGCGCAAGAACGTTCCGGAATCGTGGTCGGTCTGAACAAGGGCCACGTACGTTGTCCCCTGTCTTGAAGCTTGTTTTCAGTGTCCCGTTTTGTCTTTGCGCGTGGAAAGATTTGGTCCGGTCGAGTCGTCGAGATTTCAAGCATGTGAGCGGATTACGGAAAGGCACAACTTGGATGGGAAGAAATGAGGAAAATGCCGGAAAATTGGGTGGAATTGAAGAATTATATGTCGGGAGAAGGGTCTTTTTTGTCTGCAATGCGGAGGAAGGATTCTTTTACAACGGCCCGACGATTCTTGCTTGTTTCATTCGACATGGATGAGATTGGGAACTGGGAACTGAAATCGTCCGACTCGGCTGGATCAAATCGGGACATGCTGCTTTGATATCTCCAATCATGGAGAATTTCGCAATTGAAAGACAGAATGAAAATCAAGGACAACCGGACTAACATGTCTTTGATAACTTGCAGAAAACCACCCCCCTCAACACCCCCAAGACCCGGATCAGCCGTACCAAGGGCCAGTCTTCCCGCCGCACGGCCTTCGTTCGTGAGATCGCCCGCGAGGTTGTCGGTCTTGCCCCCTATGAGCGTCGTATCATCGAACTCCTGAGAAACACTCAGGACAAGCGCGCTCGTAAGCTCGCCAAGAAGAGAGTACGTTTGCCAGTGCCTTTACTATTCGGGGGAAAGGATATGGTTGGGAGGTTCGATTGTTTGCTTGTCCGCTTGCTCGCTCGCTCGTTCGGTTGTCTGCTTGGCTCCGGTCCGTTGTCTATCTGCATCGTGTTCTTCGACATCACTACGATTTTGCTTGATCGATAAGTACGACCTCATGAGCGTCATGACCGGTTTATGTCTCAGAGAAGAGAACGCAATCATTCGACAATCCATCCATCACCAAACGATCATGATTGCCATCCGGAGACGACAAATCAAACCAACGAAGCAAGCAAAGTACCAACGACAGGACCATCGAGCGCCCAAGCAAACAAGCAAGCAATTTGAACCACCGCCACATACCCCTCCAGCTCTTCACAAACCAAAACCACCTGCTAACATATCTTTTTTCTCTACACAGCTCGGTACCTTCGGCCGTGGCAAGAGAAAGGTCGAGGACATGCAGCGGGTCATCGCCGAGGCCCGCCGCACTGGCGCTCACTAAACTTTCCATTTCTCTCTCCAAATATCTCCTGTTTCCAGTTTTCTCTCTCTCCTATTAGCCAAGAATGAGATAACGAAAACATCCCACACCCAACCTCAAAAAATGAAATGAAAGTGAAAGTGAGAAACAAAAACCATGTTTCAATACATTCTTCTCTTCCTCCGAGTTGTAAAATAGCCCTTTGGGCGCAATGCGTGGGTCGGTTGATCTACACAGCCTCCTCCTCATTGTTGTTATTTATCCTGGGCTATGGTGTGAGGGATTGGCTGGTAGGGGCGCTTGACTTGATCTACTTCAGCCCCAGGCCCTTTCACGAGATTCATTGGTTTGTCTTGAGGACTTGGGGAAGTCTGAGATGATGGAAATGGTAATAGGCAACAAAGGACTGAAATGAGAAAGGTTTAGAAAAAAACGGAGTTTAATACAATACCACTGCACTACTGGGATCTTTTGTTTCGAGTTGGTTTGTTTTGATGATGTTCTGCTCTTAGTAAATTTCTCCTGCTCTTTTGGTCGAGTGGGACGGATAAACGCCGTAAGGACCTTCACTATCTATCCATAGAGGAACGTACGGAACTATTAGTTAGTACTAGACAGCTATAAGACTATCATCTGTGTACTCCCATAGGGGTTTAGGTTATTGTTGGCATCAATCATAACTATTCACTATCTATCTGCTACTATATCTTTCATTTCTTGCCTGGTAGTTTCAACCATTTGGGCATGCCGCCTGGCTTCCGCTTCTCGCCGCGAGTTTCATCCCCGGTGCTTGTCGGCTTCGGCCTGCTCACTTCCGAGTTATCTGTTACGTCCTTGGGCTGTTCAACCTTGAGTTCCTGCGCGCGTGTCCGTAGTTCGGGTTTCAAGAGTTCCCGGCTTTGCCGGGCGGCAGGGGATGCGTTCGCATCCCAAGTGAAGTTGACTAGCACACGACCGATCATGGCTAGATCCTTGATCAGCAGCTGTTGGTCTGAGTCGGGAACGACGTTTTGGATATGTCTCCCCGGTTGTCCTCCGCTAGATGTCTTGGGGAGGGAGGACGTGATGATAAATTTCTCGCTGGCGAATGGCGCGGCAAGACAGTTTCGGACAAAGTCGTAGAGTGATTTGGCCGTGTCTTCTTGTCCGAACTTGGCCACGACTTGGCTTTGGTCTGGTAGGCGCACCTTGACGTCTACTTGAGTGACTGCGGCGAGCCGTTCCTCTTCTGCGGCTGCTTTGGCGGCGATTTCGGCGTCCGTGGGAAGGCGTTGGGGTCGGGAGGTTGCATTAAGTCGTCGCTGATGTGCTTGTGCGTGTTCGATGGATGGGATGTAGTCGGTCTCGTTGTAGTTCGTTTGTGCGGACTGTGGTGTAGTGTTGGAAGGGGGAGAGAATACGGTTATGGGTCGAGAGAACCCAGCTGGTACTTCGGTGGGCTCTGCAGCAGGCGCATTGGATGTAGGAGCAGTTGGCGGGGTTTGTTCCGCGGTAGAAGGTGCCTCGGAAGTAGATGCGGGCTGTTGCTGTGCCCCCTCTTGTTTGTTGGATGCATCGGCCTGTGGTGGTTGCTCTGTAGGTGCAGGCGGTTCTTCGGCCTTGGGGGTCGCGTCGTCGAACGGTTTGAAGTACTCCTGAATCTTGACCATAGCCTCCTCCAAAGGTTCCTCTGTACGACGAAAGCTCAGCCTCAGCAGCACATTTCCGTTGTTGAATCCCAGCTGTGCCAAAGATTTCTGCAGATCAGTGAACGAGGAGAGTTCCCGTTCCATAATCTGGACGACCGGAGTTTCGTAGTACAGTCTCCCTGCGCCTTCATTGCCACTAGGGACACCCCTTCCAGTTATATTCCGGGTCGGAGCACCTCCAGCAACTCCAGCCTCGAATTTGCGCAATACTAGCCATATCGTTGTCGTGCTGGGGAATTTATCCAAAAGTCGTCTGTTTGGGGGCGCCCCTCGTGCTTCAGATTCGGGCAGTTGTAGAGCGACGGTGACGACGGAGGGCGAACGGGAGAGCTGAACCAACTCCAGCTTTGCGCCGGAGGTGAGCCCAGAGAGGCGAAATACCAGTGAAAGATCGAGCTCTTTACCTTTGTATCTTGACAAAAGCCGTCAGTCTTGTGAACTTCGTAGGATGGGCATAGTCGAACCTTACTTTAGTCCATATTGGCTGGCATCCACACCTAGCTTTGTACACGCTTCGTGTAAAACATCAGTTAGATGTTTCCCAGGTGTCGTCTTGATAGTAGCTCGTCGGGCTGTTGCATCAAGAACCACGACATGAGAGCTCATGATTTGAGAGAGTTTGACGTTGCGGGGCGGGGAAGATGAGGTTCAAGATAGGACAGAGAGAAAAGCCGTCGACTACCTTTTTTTCTGCAGCAGTAAGCGACTGTGTAACCGGCTTATCTATTTGGATTCCACTAATCAAAGTCTAGGCCAGTAGAGAGAGAGAAGGAGATGGGGAGGGTGAGGGGGAATGGTTGTTCAAGGCGGAGGGAATTGATTGTAGGCAGCGGGCGCAAGCGTCATCGGCAGAAGCTCGGCGGCTCCACGCGTTGCTGGCAGAGCTTCAATCACTCCTCCATCCATCCATCCTCCGCCCATCTTCCATCTCCCATCGCCTCAACCCTCCCTCTACACGCTCACATCCCCCCTTAGCTCTTGGAACTCGACCCGGAAATTCATATTCGATCCTATTCTGAGCTTCTAGTCGTGCAATTCTTTCTCAACCATGGTATGTGTGCTGCGTGACCCTCACCTCTCCCTCGAACCAACCTAGCTGACAGACCTCCTCCACAGAGTTCCCCTTTCGATATCAGTATGTACTAGCTTCGCACAGCTTACCATCATGACTATTAACTCTCGGATGAACAGATGGCGGTGCCTGCGTCGCCATGGTGGGCAAGGACTGCGTCGCAATCGCCTGTGATCTCCGGTTGGGTATGCAGGCCCTGACTGTCTCCAACAACTTCCCCAAGATCTTCAACTACGGCCCCTCCACCTTCCTCGGTCTGACCGGCCTGGCCACCGACGTGTCGACTGTGTCCGACCTTTTCCGGTACAAGGTCAACATGTACCGCCTCCGCGAGGAACGGAACATTGCCCCCCAGACTCTCGCCAACCTGGTCAGTTCGTCGTTATACGAGAAACGGTTCGGTCCTTTCTTCGTCAGCCCCGTCATTGCCGGAATCAACAGCACAACGGGGAAGCCTTTTATCTGCGGATTTGACAGTATCGGGTGTATCGATTTTGCGAAGGACTTCATTGTTAGCGGAACTGCCAGTGAGCAGCTGTTTGGTACCTGCGAGGGTCTGTGGGAGCCGGACTTGGTAAGACTACTCCCTTTTGGAGAAAAAAAAATAACTGAAGATGGTGATGTATCGAGTCTGTACTAACATTCTGATGTAGTCCCCCGAGGACCTGTTCGAGACCATCTCGCAAGCCTTGCTCAGCGCCGTCGATCGAGACGCCCTTTCCGGTTGGGGTGCACAGGTGTATATCATAGAAAAGGACAAGGTGACCAAGCGTCTACTGAAGGGAAGGCAAGATTAGATGGCATTCTCTGGAGTATAATTGTTTTCTAATGTCACGCCGTTCGTCTGTTTTAATTTACGTCCCTCAACATGGAATCTTGCTGTTGATAGCAGTCTCTGGCGCCGGAGATCTCGACTCAAAGATACGTGCTGTCGATAGAGATTGGCCAAACAGAAAATGAGTATTATGAACTATGATCAAGCCCTGGATATCCATACTTGGGGTCTAGACCTGCCGCCTAATGTACGATAGGCCGAGTTAAGGGTACGAACTACCATGCGTCCACATCCATCGGCTCTTACCTTTAATGCTTGGCCCGTCGTTCGATTAATAATTATAATGGGCTTGAGTAATACGACGTAGCTTTCATCACAATTAAGAAGGTATGGTATCTTCCGCTTATTACGCAGGTAGTAGGCATCTACATACCAGCGGCAGATCAGTCTTCACACCCTCGCGTGCTGCAAAGCACGCCGCCCAGGACCAATACCTTGATTCGATTCGGTGCTTCGAGGCCTTTTACTTGGTGCAACTTTCTAATATCCCACAAAGGGCCGCGTGACGGGGATGGCTGCTGTACGCTTTTTAAGGAAGTTTTATGCCGTGGGTTACCCGGCCCGTAGATTCGTAACCCTTCCGGTACAGTGGAGACCTCATACGTACAATGTGAATGCCCGGATGGCACAGTTGCATGATGGCATCTGCCACCCCGGTCGAGACCTCGCCGTCCGTGCATATCTGGGGACGAAGTAGCTATTGACTGGGAAGCCAGCTGATGGGGAGAAGGAAAAGGTTAGTTGGTTAGGATGATTGCAGGATGAAGTTATGATGCAGCAAGTCGTAGGAAATGGTCGGATGCGAACGAGTAAGAGTCTGGGTCGGGAGGTCTCCCGTGACGAACAAGAGCCAGTGAGAAGACGTGGTGACAGTGTTGACGGTCGTCACTCATTAGACGAAGGAGTCTTGCGGGCATCTTCATCCATGGATCCTTCCCAACTGTTGGCCGATGACTCGTCCCTGATACTACTAGGTACCATGTGCAACCCACGAGTGCTGAAACTGGGAAATTTGTCCCGGAGCAAGTGTGAATTTATCCTTAGCAAGTGCAGTAGTGCAAGTTTAGTAGGCAGGCATGCAGAGATAGCCACGGGTTTCAAACCGGTGCTGACCTCCCCCCCGGCCGATCGCAACCTTGAATCCCCTGTTTTCCCCATTTGTGTGATCCTTCAGTCATCCTGGACTTTGGATTCCCCAGAACCTTTTGTACGCAGAGCCGGAACAGTGAGTCTTGAAAGCAAGCGAGAGCCTGCTGAAGGGGAGGCCCAAAACTTGCCAGCATCTCGCTCCGTTTCAGCCTCCCCGCGTCTAGACCTGGCGATCGGCCCAAGTTGGCCCCATCGATTTCTCAGGCTCGCTTCTTTCCCCTCCTCATCGTCCCATTCCTGGTCGCTCCATCTCATCCCGGCCTGGATTCTCTATCTCGCATTCCGTCACTCTTCCTCCCTCCTTCTCCCTCCACCCCCCCCCCCCCATCCCGCCTCCATCTCCAGCTCTCCATCACCCCTATCCCTCCTCTTCTACTGGCCGTTTCGATCTGGCATCCTGGCACCCCTCTTCTTCCCCATCCTTCCCTCTCTCTCGATCACCATCCGCCCGTTCACCGGTTGGTCTGTGCCATTAATCTCTGCCCCAGAATTTGACTCGGCCAGTCGTCGAAGGAAAGCTTCTCGACCACCTCGATAGAAATCCGAAAGGCGGATCGATCTTCAGGGGTTTTCAGGAACGGGAGAAGGAAATCCGAGAATTATACCTGAATCCGAAGCATCCAGCGAATCATCTACAGAATCTTTCACGCGGAGAGAAAAAGCGGAAAAAAGGGAGATTTCTCCCCCCAAAAGCAACAGAACCTCTCGGTCTTCTATCGGCCAGCTTGCACCCCCTATATCCTTCCAGACGATTATCCTGATCCTATCGGAGGATAAAATTATTTGCAAGACCGGTGCCTGCTCTTTTGCAGAGCATCCCCCGCGGTGCAGCTCAGCGTGGGCTTCATCTTTTCTATCGATCCCAAAGTGATGTATGTATTGAAGAGCCAGAGCCATCTAGGACGGGCATTGTGCTTGGTAGCCTCCTTCTATCCCTACTACTCACCCTGCTTGCATGAATATAGCTAACGGGGCTCCTGTTTGACTGACCATACAGACCGAAAGCCATGCGCTGTGCCCCTTCCAACAATCTGGGTCTTGATTCATTGATATCTTATCAATCCCCCTCAGTAACCTGGCGACCTCCCATATTATCATCCAGCGCTATATCTCCACATTAGATTCGGTCTTCAACAACAAAATCGAGGACGCTGCAGAGCACCAACCATTCGGCACATCATGCCCGATTCCGCGGAGTCAGAATGGTCTAAATCCTTTGCATCCGGCCCAACTATGTCGTTACTTCCGTGCAAATCCCAGGTTCTTCCTGGTGATGCGTCCGCATCTACGTTGCGCGAGGACGATGCGCAGGCCGACTCGTCCGGTCGCAGATATATCGGAGCGCCCCAGAATGTCGCAATTGACCGGCTGGTGAAATTGAAGCAGGAACTTCGAACCCTCAGATCGGAAAAGTTTTGGAACCATCTTATGGAGAAGATCAGCTCGATTTGTGATGCTCAGTATGTGTTTGTTGCTCGCAAGGCCCGGGAGGACGAGTCGGTCAATGAAATACGAGGCCACAAGCCTTATTTATTCGGCACTGCGTTCTATTACAATGACGGATACGAAACTGCAGGCATGCATCGCCACAGATACTTTGCTGGCGGTAATCCTCTGTCCCATATGGACCACGAGAAGCCCTGTTTGATCCCGGAGGATTTGGGCTCCTACATATCGTTCGATCCAGATCAGCTGCCGTTCGCCGCAGAAGGCTATCTCGCCGTCCCACTGTTCTCGGAAACGAAATGTCTCTCATACCTTGGTCTGATGTGGTCGGAGTCCGGATTGAAAAAGCGCAACCTGTCGTGGTCGTTCCTCGAAATGATACTGTATTCTTTGGAAGATCTGGTGGTTCAGCACATTCGTGACGATCTTGAAGCGGTAAACACACAGCAGCCGAGCAACAGCAAGACTAGAAGTGTGTCTGCCAGCCACGCGATTGTCGAGGATGCACACATAAGCATCACTCATGGATTGGCCGACTTTGCCTCTCACCCATTGAAGCCTTATGCCCGGAGTTTGTCTCACGAACTCCGCACGCCGATGCAGGGTGTTGTCGGAATGCTGGATGTCATGCATGCCACGGTTCGCGAAGCTATCCAGGACAAGCCATCTCCAAAGGCGGGGTTCGTTTTTCGAACCCTGAAGGAGAGTATCGAAATGGTTCAGGGTTCGTATTCTCCCTTCTTGGATTCTTCTTTTAGATGCTAACCTCACATCCATCTTTACAGATAGTGCAAGACGGGCGGTCGAAGCAGCAGACAACGTGGTCCATGCCTACGACCTGAACATGCAAGTCCCCAAGACTCCTCAGCTCGAAAGAGATGATTGTTTTGGCGGGCCGGTTCAGACTCCAATAAGCACATGCGACAGCCGGCCAAGTGTCTTCGTTGAAGGAAGTAACATCACAGTCAATCCGTACAAACGGCGACGGAGTAACCCGCCAGAATGGAATGTCGGCACAACGCCAAAGCAGAAGGTCCCGCGCGTCGTCTCGCCGAAGGGACTTTCTCCTCGTAGCGAGGAAGTCAAAAATGCTGTCCACGAAAGCGAACAACTGATGAAAGCCGCCCCTGCACATCAGATAGAAGCAGTCATGGCCAACATGGTGAATCCTCGACCATCGCTGGCGGTCCGGCGCTCGGCACCGCATCTCTTGTTGGAAGGCATCAACGTCAATGTCGTCCCTGCACTGAGGTTTACCAAGCTTCGCGATCTACTCCGTCTAGTCATCAATGAATCCTTGCACGTTGGTGGTCGGCCTGACTTTGCTGTGAGCAATGCGACCGACACGGGAGAGAAGATTGAGATCCGGTCACGCTCATCAAACGGTGAAGTCTTTTCCAAAACTATTAATTGGTCGGTCGATCCCGCGCTACCGGACACACTATTTGTAGATGATCGCGACCTGGCCAAGTTGATTTCGTGCGTTTTCCTCAATGCGGTCAAGTTCACCAATAGCGGTGTGATAACCGTGTGTGCCACCGTTGGCCGCAAGACCAACGATGTCCTGATCGCTGTGAAGGACACTGGACCGGGCATTCCGGAAGCATTCTTGCCTAAACTCTTCAAACCGTTTGCTCGCGAGGACAACACCACCACCCGGAGTAAGGATGGGCTAGGACTGGGTCTCCTTGTAGCCAAGGGTCTGGCCAGGAAGATGGGCGGCGACCTCACATGCGTTCGCTCCTGCACCAGCGGTCCCGACCATGGCTCCGAGTTTGAGATCAGGATTCCGGCCAACCAGCCCGATCCGACATTAACTCCTCCGAACAAGCTTTTAACACCACCGCAGCTCTGCGATCCTTCACGCATGACCAGTGCGAGCACCTCGACGGTGGAATCGTCGTTGCTGTCGCCCGCGCTGCGAACACCGAGTCAGCCGATTCAGCAACCATCACCTAGCTTAACTGAGGAATCGTCCGTAACGTTGACCCCTGCGCGCTCGGTTCCCCATTGCAAGTCAATGCCACGTCACATCAATGGTGACACTCATGACAGTAAGCTGGGGGAAAAGCATCCGCTCACTTTCCTCGTCGCTGAGGACAACAAGATCAATCGGCGTGTGTTGGTTCATATGCTGAAGCGCCTTGGCTATAGCGACATCTACGAAGCTTGTAATGGAAAGGAGGCGGTCCGCATCATGCAGGAGGTTCTGGTCGCCCAACAATCAGCAGATGGCCCCTCTCCCAAGCTCGAGAGCACAACAGATGGGTTTCCGATCCCCAATCCGCCTAATCATCGCAAGAAGATGAAACCGGTGGATGTTGTGTTGATGGACCTGTGGATGCCAGAAATGGACGGATACGAAGCCACGTCCAAAATCCTCCAGCTAATAGATGAATACCACGGTCAAATCCCCCCTAATTGTCGGCCAGAGCAGCAGCATCCGCCTCCCTTAGGGACACCTGCAGCCCATCAGCCCGTGGCGCCGACGGTTCTTGCCGTAAGCGCCGATGTCACCGACGAGGCACTCAGTCGCGCCTCCAAAGTGGGCATGAAGGGCTATATGACCAAGCCGTACAAGCTCTCGGATCTCGAGCGATTGATCCTAGGGTTTTGCAGTGATGCCACGACCCCTGCCGCAAGACAACCCGACGACTCGACGATGAATACATGACATAGATACATACTCCGGTCTTTTCAGTTATTGATTCCCACCCCCCGCTTTATACCTCATTTTGTCTTTCTTTTCTGTTGTCTGCCATTGAATCTTGATTGGATCTGGTACCACAGCATGGGCGCTGTTTCTTCTGCAGGGAGCAGCCGCATTAATGTTAGAAGAATAATTTTTTAGTGCTGATGTATTTACGAGCGACCTTCTGCATCCTTTATGATCAAATGATGACTGGGGGCAAAGATGGAAACGCGCACGTTTCGTCCAACTTGAAAGAATGCAATGATTTTGGATGGTCCAACACTTGAACAAATGCCAGATAGATAACACTCGCTGTCACTCCTTAGAAAATATCAACTAAGCACTCTCCCCAACATCAACATCAAACACCAACTTACACCCCCTCACCCTCTCCTCCCTCAACCCCTGCAACTCACCAATAACCCCCTCCAATCCTCCCTCCCCCCAAGCCTCACAGGATGCGGCACAACCACTCCATCCGCCAGCAACCTTGTCGCAGTCTCCAACCACTCCTCAGCAAACTCCCAATCCTCCGGTATCACCGGCACTCGCTCCCCATGAAATAGAAACTCATAGCCTCCCACCGTATACCCCAATGTCCAACGACTCCGGACATCATCCCGCGGCACCACACTCCCGGGCAACAAAGCCGTATACTCCCCACCCACGAACACTACTCATAGCCCGTCCACAGAACGCAGCCGTCTCCGGAGTCGAGATAGTATCCAGCACAAGGGTCAGTTCATCACGAATCACCTCTCGAATACGCTCCGGAACATCCGGCTCACGATAGTCAAAGACATAGTCTGCGCCGTGACTCCCCGCCCAGCCCCTCATGCTGCGGTACCGAGCACGTCGTTATCACGGTGTAGCCCGACAATTTTGGCGAATTGGATGGCCATGGTGCCGGTTGCGGTGGAGC